GATAGCTGGCTGCCATGCTCCTTGCTTCAGGGTCTCAGGACTTTCAAAGCCTCCTTCCCATCACCTTTTCCTCTTCATCCCACCTCACATCTCTACATTTTGGTCTCCCTGTGTTTCTGCACTCACATTTTGCTTGCAGATTTGCTTATGTTATGTCTTGCAGGAGAATTTCTGTGTCCCTGCAGAGTGTGTCTTCAGGGAAAATTGCACAGCGTTTAGCAAGGAGAGCTGATGAATCACGACAAGACCGATTCCTCTGCAAATAATGCAGAGGATTGCAGTTGGGAGGGTTTCTTTCTTTATTTTTTTTTTTTTTCTTTTTGCTCAATTGAAAACCAAATGCCAGATTCCTGTAGAGGCAATTTAACCACGGCTATTACTGTGCTTGTGACTGGTTACCACCTAAGAGCTTTGTGATTAAAATTAGGCTATCAGAAGCAGCCAGTGTCTGGGAGAATTAGGGAAAACACTGGCGGAAGCAATTTCTTTCAAAACAAAACTGAATTGAATTAAATAATTTGTTTCCAGTCATACCTGATGGAACCTACTTCTCCTCTGTCACTAGTAGGGTAAACCAGGAGAGATGTGATTGAAGGCAATATCATTTCACACAATTGCAGCTGGTGAGGATTAAGGGAAGCTCAGGTCAAACATTTATTAATGCTGTTAATGATCAGCCTCTCAACTTTGCAACTTCTCAGACTTAGTTCTGAGTTTCGTACAAAGCCATAATCATGTAAGTGGTGTGCATGAACTATCCTGGACCTAAAGAACTCTGTGTTTTGGGGTATTTGAAAATCAGGGTTCAAATTAGAGCCTTTTCTGCTTATCTATACACTATGCATGCTTTTGGGTTTGAAATCAGATGACTCGTTTTGTATGTTGAGGAGAGTGGGCTAAGAGTGAGCATTTCAGAACCTGGAAGAGATGCCCTTGTTTGGATTTGTAGACACAGCTAGAGCAACCGTCCATTGCATGGCTGGCCTAAATGCCACGGGCAAAAGCCATTTAGGTTAACTTAGTTAGGTCTGAGTACTGTCTGCTCTGCCCAGTGGAGTGTAGAAAGGCTTGAGCAAAAGGGCAGGTGACTATGATCATTTTGCAGTGTATCTTTCTGAGTTCAAGACAGTGCTTAGAGGAAGTTGGTGACTTTTTTAAGATTTAACTGTGTCACCCACACCTGTGCATTCTTAAAGACTGACTACATCCTTAAGTCTAAAAACTTCTAAGATAGCAAGAGTGAGGCTGACTTTAATTGCTTCTTGGGATTTGTAGTCAGAGTTGTGACAGCCTTGGCTTTGCCTGTGGGTTTGGGCTGCAAGTGGCAGACGTTCATTCAGTGGAGGGTTCTGCAGTTTTCCATTCATTACTTGTAAGCACCCTTGTGGGCTGTAATCCATCATGTTAGAGATTTTGACCCTTTGAATGAGTGAGCATGGTTCTTGTACCACATTAATTCATTGTACGTTCCTCAGTATGATTTTCACTTTGCTGTAAGGGTTTTCTCAGCATCAGACTGGTTTTCTTGGCTGCTCTCCAGCAAGGAGGACTGGGAGGTTGTTTGTGTTGCCCACACAGAGCTTGTGAGCCTTGTGAGGCAGGCTCGTTGATGGTGTAAATGTGTGTGGCAGTGGAGCTGCTCCTGAGAAGCACTAAGTTGTAGAACCATTCAGGTTGGGAAAGACCACTAAGATCATCTAGTCAAACTGTCAGCCCATCCCCACATGCCAGCTAACTATGTCTCTCAGTGCCACATCTACCCTTTTCTTGAACACTTCCAGGGATGGTGACTCCATGACCTCTCCAGGCACCTGTTCCAGTGCCTCACAACTCTTCCTGAGAATAAGTTCTTCCTAATATCCAACCTGAACCTCTCCTGGTGCAACTTGAAGCCATTCCCTCTTGTTTTTTCACAGTTACCTCAAAGCACCTCTCCACAACCTCCTTTCATTTTTTTATGGAGAGCAGTAAGGCTTCCCTGAGCCTCCTCTTCTCCAGACCAGACAATCCCAGTTTCCTCAGTTACTCCCCATAAGATTTGTGCTCCAGACTCTTCACAGCTTTGTTGCCCTTCTCTGCACACATCCAAGGACTTCAAAGTCTCTGTTGTAGAGAGGGGCCCAAAACTGAATGCAGTGCTCGAGGTGCAGCCTCACCAGGAGTCAGCCAGCAGGAGCAGAGATCCACCACACACAAAGCTATAAAATGCTCCAAATGACTGTACAATTCCATTTGAAAGCAAATTCAAACTCGCTTGGAATAGTGGATGGAAATAAATGTCTGGTGACATCCTGATAGGTGGCTTTGAACGCTTTGTGCAGTGTGGAAAGGTTGGTTTCTGCCACCCAACAACATTTCAGGTGTTGCTTTTGCTGTGCTGCAGATTCTGGAGGGAGCGAAGGGAAAGCTTCAGCCCTTCAGTCCTCATCTTGCAGCTGCTTTTATTTAACAGGCGTCTTTCCTGTCAATGTGAATATTAGGAGCCAAGTGCAGTTCATTATCCAGTGTATCACTTTGAGTCTAATACTAATTAAAAGCTTTGCCTTTGCTTCTGTAGAACCTATTCTTAGGAATTATGTAAATTAATTAGAATTTTGAAGAGGAGCGTATGCCAAATCCTCAGCAGTTCCCTGCTGGCTGAGGGGAATGGCATTGGGATCAGTTCTTTTTTTTCTTTTTGCAGCTGCAAAAATCTGAGGCTCTTAAAGTCAATTTTAATGCTTCACTTTTACAAATATGTGAAAGAGATCAAATATCCAGATCCCGACCATTTGCCATGGCGGTACAATATCAAGGCTTTTTCTCCATGAAAGCTTTTCCGTCTCAAAAATGACATTTAACACAGACAAGCTTTTTACTTCCACAGCCCTTCTCCAAACAAAAGTATGTTCCTGAGTCAAAGAGAATTTTCTCCCTCAAAAGGGAGACATACCGAAGATCCCATGGGTTCTCTGCAGGAGTTTACTCTTGCTATTAATTTAATGAGAAAGATGTTTACATGGTATGCTGAATGGGAAGGGAGATTTGATCCTGAGATACACAGCACATGGACAAAAGGTGATAGGCTTTTCAAGTAAAATAAACAATGTTAAATGTTGTTAGTTTTATGATTTTTCCCATTTGATTATTTTTTCCCTTTGAAAAAAGCCGTAGTAAAAAGGAGCCCAGCCAAAGAAACCGTCTCAAATGAAAATAAGAAGTAATACTGTTTTAAGTATTTTGATCTCAATCAACAAATCACATATGAAGTTGATGAAACTACTCGCATGTTTAAGGATAAACATGATTAAGTACTTCGGTAGATCTGGGCATATTATGTATTGAAGCCAGATGCAAGCGTGAATTGAATCCTGGATCTTTTGATGGGAAGATGCTGCAGTGTAAGCTTGCTTCCAGATGTATGATTTGCAAAGTTGCCTTTTCTTTACAACCTCACCCCAAGGATTGAGAGATGCTGGGTGTGGATCCTTGTGTAGGGAAGAGATATCCTACAGTCTAGATGCTGTCTGCCTTTGAAGGTTGGAAGTTCAGTTGGTGAGGTCTGATTTTTGCAGCCATTATCTTTTCCTAGTGGTAACAATGGCAATTTTGATAACCTTTCCTTAATGCAGTGCTTACACTGAGCAGCTTCACTGTACAAGGAGCCAAATTCAATTCCCTGAATCAAGCTCTTATTCAGCAAAACATTGTGAAACTGCCAGAAATCAGTCTCCTGGTTTGCTGGGACTTCGGTAATGTGGAAATAATTGCCAGCAACTGGAAGTACAGCTGATGCTGCACTGCAGGACACCCAAACTCCTGAATGTCTGCTCCTTCCTCAGCCATTAGTTCATCGTGGTGTTTTGGCCCATTATTGCTAAGTCTTCCTCAGTTTCCCCATTGGAATATACTTCCCTTGCTGTGAAACTGAAGACATTATGAAAGCTTTTTTGACTGCTTTTTGGTTCTCGCATAAAAGACACAGTAATGTTGCGAAGATAAGGTAAGGTGAAGACAACTATTCCTTTAGCTTTGATTGGAGCTAGTAAAAATCCTTATCTCTAATGGCACCGGGAATGTAAGATCCCAAAATAGAAGTCATTAAGTCTACAAGTGAGAACAGTTCTTAGGAAGGAAAGTGTAATGACATACAACTTCAGATCAATAGAAAATCATTTTAGAACAAGAATACAACATGTAGCAACGAATGTAGATGGGAGTGACATTGCTAGCCTCTTATTAGATACTAAGCTTTCTGCATATATTTTGGAGTTCAGTGTGTGTGTGCTTTAAATATAACAGCTCTTCTTTTTTGGTTGTGTTGGCTAACGCATGGGTCATTTAGACAACATTGGTCTAAATGATGTAAATGTTGTTTTACATTGGTTCAGTGTGAAATAAAATTGTTACTTTGGAATTAGGTTGCTAGCCTGTATGCTAGTTAGACAAGGACATGAGGATGGGGTCATTTGATAGATGTAACACATTTGTGGCAAGTGAGGGAGTTGAACCTGTGTTGTTTCTGAGGTTAGGTGCTGCATCCTCCTGATCACCCAAGGTTATTGCATGTAGACATGTTTGATCCTGGATGAAGGTATTGTGACAGGCATGTACCTGAACACAGCTGTGTATTTTTCCACCAACAGGTTCTCTCATTGCTCACCTTTTGGGTTCAAGTTCATTGTCCTGGGCCTTATTCCACCTTTATTCCCCCAGTTGGACAGAAGACCTTTCCATCTTATGGTACATGAAAACCAGCCCAGGTTTTTATTTGATGCCGTAGAGGAGCCCAACGTTCATTAGGACAAATCAGGGGCAATTAGGTCTTCCACCCACTTCCCACCAGCTTCCACCCACTGCAGGCACAGGAGCATGCAGTCGGAGACAGTGGACAATCTGCTAATCACCTGGGTGACAGATCCACCTGAACACCTTTCAAATAGATTCTCCAGTGTGTTGAGCCTTCCTTCGTGGCTGGTGCTGACACACCACCTATCCCTCTTCCCTATTCTTTCCCCCAGGACCATGCTGATTTGAGAAACCACTTTTTCACTGTGGGGATGAAGCTGGAGGCGGTGAATATGAGGGAACCGTTTCATATCTGTCCTGCATCAGTGACTAAGGTAGGGTCCCAAAAATGAATGAGGGCTGAAAAGATGTTATTTCTACCATGTTTAGGAAAATATCCATGAATGTTCCCCTCTTCATCAGTTGTTTCTGTTGTACGAGCATCACTAGTTGACTTTATGTGCACTTATCACTGGGTAACGCGTGCACTCATCCTATGAATTTCATCTGCCAGTTTCATGCAGATAAAGGGAATCCCTTTTATCCCAGTCTTCTTTCCATGCCTACATATTTTTCCTGCACATCTGTGATTCTATCTGAAATGAAACAACTGGTTTGAGGGCATACTTGTGTGTCTTATCCACACCCTCAAAAGCAAGAGAAGGGAAGGCTTGTAGGGTCTCCAGTACTGTCTACAGTCCTTGCCCAGCTATAAGCACACTGAATGATTCTGAACTGTGGTGCTTTCTCTTGCCTCAGTTTACCCATCTGTGCCTTGATATCTTTGGTGGAAACACAGATGTAAAGCGTTAGGTGAGAGTGGGTTGTTTGAGATGCACTTTGATTCCAATTTGTTTCAGCTTTATATGTTTGCAGGTGTTACAGCAAATTTAACATCAGATTTTTTTCTTCTTTTTCATCTCTTAGGTTTTTAACAATCATTATTTGCAAGTGACCATTGATGACTTGAGATCTGAACCCAGCAAAATCTCAATGCTTTGCCATGCGGATTCCTTAGGGATCTTGCCAATACAGTGGTGCCTTAAAAATGGAGTCAATCTCACACCGCCCAAGGGTTTGTATTACTTCTCAATGGCTTGCAGCTTTTTTACTGCCTTTAAAACCATTCTGCTCTTTGCTGCAGAGCACCACACTAAGCATCTCCAGCCAGAGCATCTTTGTTGAGCCACCGAGGCTCATAACAGCCTGTGAACATCTCTGCAAATGTGTTGTTGATGGATTAATGTCTGTCTGAAGCAAACTGCACTGAGGCATAGGAAATTCCTGTAAAACACATCTCGGTGATGTTTTGTGGTGCAGATTGCTGAAGGAGCATTAAGAGTCATATTATGTTTGAGACAAACCAGGCAGCTTCGCTTATAGCATCCCCATTGGTACAGCCCTGAGCTGCAGAGAACACGGAAATCTCAACGTCTCCTGGATTCAGATTGTATCTCACCAGTTAGCTCTCAGCTGCCTGCCCAGAAGCACATAGGCATTTTTACTTACCTGTCTCAAAAAAATCCCAGACGAGGGCAAATTGAGAGCAGTACTCAGGTCAGAGCCAGGAGGAACAGCATCCGACCGTGCTATTTCCCATCTCTGTAGCAGTGCAGTTAATTAACTGCAATTTCAGGCAACCACCTGCAGTGTGTTAGCAATATTTCTTCACTTGCAAAATGTGTTGGCTTTCTGGAATGTTAATTTTTTTTATTCTGGTCAGGGTGTCAAACTTCTGCCAAAAAATGACATTGCTTGAGAGAAGAAATGCTTCACAAAAATATCCTGTGAAGTCGTGTACATGCATATTTGTCTTCATTTTGGAAGGAAATATGCTGCTGCTGGTCCCAAGGAAGTGAAGGGCTATTCCCTGCCAGATTTAAAGGCCTCTTATATTTATATAAGATATATACATATATATCTAGCATGTGCAGTTTGAAATTCCCACCAAAGTCTGGGAGCCCTCTGTGTGCAGCTGCATATAGTGATATGTGATTAATCTGTTGCTTTTACTGAAAGAAATTTACTCTGTGGATGTTTATCTTCCTCTTGCTTAAATCCAAGTGTAAAGATTGTGACTATGTAAGTGCTCAGTGGTCAGCATTTTGTTTTTTCCACCATGAGTTCCCATGCAGCTTCCCCCGGGCCACCTTATTAACTCAAATAGACCATAGACCAGACGTTTCTATATAAAGGAACATGGCTTAATAGTTTCCACTCCATGCTGGTACAAAACCTGTTTTATGGGGCAAGCACATGCAAGCTCTATTTAAATGCCTGCATAATTAGAAGTATCTGTAGCATTCTTCCACCTGTCATTACAGATATTTTCAACTTGTCCTGGAAAGGCTAAGCAGCTAGCAGGTATCTGGTGTGATATTCAGTGCCTGGGGTCCACCTTGGTTCCTCAAAAGGGGCAGGAAGCCTTTGCTTTCTGCTGTCAGATCAGAAATCATGGAGAGAAGCTATTAAAAGAGGTTTAAATCAAGTAGCAGATAGAGGCATAAAATATATTGTGCTTCTTCCAGAGTATATGAGGGCTGCATGCCTAAACTGCATCTTAGGATCTTTTGGGTCAAAAAACTCCTCCAGCAGCAAACATGCACTTTGAGTCATGAAAGTGGTTAAACATTGGAATGATGTCTGAAAAAACAACCAGCAAGCAAAAAAGCACACCAAAAAATGCAGATAGAAAAAGAAATGCATCCAGAACCACACTGAGGTCTTCTCTGACAAGAGTCACATCAGCTTGCAATAAAGAAGCAGTCAGGACTGACAGGAGAGGGCTGCAACATGCCTACAAGTGGGACCAGAAAGAAGGAGGGCATTCCCCCATTTTCAATCATAACTGCTCTGAGGTGTCCAGATTTGCTCCTTTTTTTTTAAATGTGCAGATTTGGCCATTCTCCTCCATGACTATATTGACAATATTTAGTGCTGCAAACATAGCTTTCCCTTTTGAAAGGCGAGAAATTCCCATGGAGAATCAGATGACGTGGGGAAAAATACATAAGTCCTTTTTGTCTTCATGGATAGAGTCTTTGCTGTATTCTAGTATTTTTGGGGGGGGGGGAGGGGTTAAATAATGGTTGGCAGGGAGTTGTCTGATTTTACAATTAATTGATTTTATTTCATCAGAATAGTAGTGCAAATTGGGATATTTGGGTTCAAAGTCCTTTATTTCTTTAATATCTCTTCTTTTGCCTTTTTGCCTGTCAAGCCTTTGTTGAAACCAAACATGCAGTAGATGAGTCATGAACAGGAGGTGCAAACATTTGCTGCTAGAAACAGAGAGCAATTTTTCCTGCGTGGTGCCAAAAATGAATACCCATTTACTGCTGCTGTATAAACATTGAACAAGCACTGTTTATATTTATTGGGTTTGGGTTTATTGACCACTTCCCTTTAGAGTAGTAGTTGTTCCTTTTCATGAACCGTTAAGAGGGGGAAAAATACCACAGTAGCACTCTTAAATACAAGGCTTACTAAAGAAATGCCGTTTCTAAACCTCCAATGCATTTGTATTGTTATATTTGACTCTGATTACACTGCTGGTTTTAACAGCTCTTCAGTGCTGAGAGTCAAGACAGCAGACACAGTGAAGTTCTGTGTATTTGGGGAGCAGTAGGTAATTCATAGAACCATCATAGAGTGGCGTGGGTTGAAAAGGACCACAATGAGCATCGGCTTTCAACCCCCTGCTATGTGCAGGGTCACCAACCACCAGACCAGGCTGCCCAGAGCCACATCCAGCCTGGCCTTGAATGCCTGCAGGGATGGGGCATCCACAACCTCCTTGGACAACCTGTTCCAATGTGTCACCACCCTCTGTGTGAAAAACTTCCTCCTAATAATCTAATCTAAACCTCCTCTGTCTTAGTTTAAGACCATTCCCCCTTGTCCATCACTATCAACCCATTTAAACGAATGTGCAGATTTGTGCAGGCTTTGACCATTATTACTAGGGTTGAGCTTTAGAGGATAACAATGTGTGAATATCATGTGCTAATGAGAGCATCTATTTACTTCTCATCATGAGGCTCCATGATGAGGTACACACAGGGCCAGGCTTGTTTGATGGCAGTTCTTGAGTATGGCCTTCTTTGAGCAATCCTTGTTGCGCTGCTGAAGTTCTGGTAAACTGCACTGCTGCCTTTCCAGGCTTTGTTCCCACAGAAGTCTACAAAGAACCTCACACCTTGAATAGTACAGAGCCAAGCCAGCAGCTGGTTTTATGGTGACACGTGAGTCAGATTTTTATACCTCATTGAAACGTGCCTTTTCCATCCACTCTGCCAAGATTTTGCACAGCTCTCAATCAAGATTGAGGATCTGTCCACGAGGGGCTTACATCAGAGACCTGAGAACATGCAAAGTGTGGGCAGGGTTTAGGGTCCCTGTGAGCAATGTACTCTGGCAGCTGAGACGTGCCCAGGTTTGTTTAATGCAGACATCTGCATTGTGGCTGCCTTCATGTGAGTTCATTACCAAAGCTGCTTCCAGAGTCAACGGAGAGCAAGTGAGACTTGTAGAGGGATTCTGCTCCTTCTGAAGGAGGGTGTGCAAATCACCTGTAGATCTTTCTCCATTGATGCTTCAGGGAAGCCAGCTCAAGGCGTCTACGCTGCCAACACCTGTGTGCGATCAGATGGATCCCCTTCTGATGCAATGTGCACTTCGCCTCCTGTTTTCCATTTCATTTTCTGAAGCCTGAAAGTATCTGGCAAGGAAATAACAAGAGAGAAAAAAAAGTAGACAGAGAAGAAACAAGACAGTACTGTTGAAAAAATCAGTTGTTAATTTATGTAAAAAGATGCTAGGTATTTTTCATGTGAAAAATGAAGATTCTCTCAGTTATGGCCCTTTGTCACTTCTCTGTGCGTGTTTATTTCTAGCTTTGCAAACAGTATTATGTTTTGTTACTGCGTAAATGCCCTGCAGAGACATTTTAGGACCCTCTCTATCTTGCTCATTTGTGAGTGCAGCTGTTAAGAGTAGAGCTCGTTTTATCCTGGATACTTGCATCTTAGCAGGATGCTCAAGACTTTATGTTCAAAATGTTTGCTCTTTTTTGGATCTGGATGATGGATAAGTGATTCCACTCAGTGCGCCGTCCTTTCTTGCCTACAAAAAAATTCACAGTTTCCACTGTCACAAATGACTAATTCCCATCTGATCTTGACTGTCCCTTTTTGACTGCCAATGAAAAAGACATTAAGGGATGTTCTGTAAGATTGAGTCCAGTCTGAGATATCAGGCAGGGAGATTAAGGGGAGAATTTGTCCTTTAGATGACTCCTGAAACTTTCCAGTGAGAGTAGTTCTACAATAATGTTATTACAGCATCATCCCAGGGCTCTGGATAGGGAATAGCACTCATTGGTATGAAGCACTGGGAAATCCTAAAAACCAGATTAAAATCAGTCAAGCAGTGAAACCAAACAGCCAAATAAAACCCTTTGCCCCAAGAGTTTATTGCTAGGTAAGAAATATAGAGGAGTAGGGATTTGGATCTCTGTGATAGGACTGTTTGAGTGACCCCCCTATCAATCACTGCCTCTTCCATTTTTCCTTAGAACAAGAGGCTGAAAGGATTATCTGATTGAATCATAGAGTCATTAAGGTTGGAAAAAGGCCTCTAAGGTCATCTTGTCCAACTGTCCAGCTACCACCAATATGGCCCACTAAACCGTGTTCCTAAGTACCACATCATTCTAAAGCCTTTAGGAACTGGGAATTCTGTGTTCATTTTCCCGTTCTGCTCCAGGTCTCTATATGACCTCGTGTGACATGCTTAGAGTGGGATTCAGCTTATGTTCTCTGAGCCATTGGAAAGTCATTCATGCAGAGTACAGCTGTTGCAGTGAAAAGAGAGATGAATTTATCTCATGGTACAAGGGAAGGGATGGATCAGCTTCTGGTTGTGCTGATTCTCTTCCTGTTGACCCAGGAGTCCCAATTGAAGTCCCAGTTTTTAGGTACTTAAAGAATGGAGAAAGAGGTCATGAATCCACCCAGAAAATGGGGACAGTAGTGCTTCTAGGTAATTAAAGGTTTATTAAAGCCTGAGAGATGCTCATTGGAAAGGGAAAATGAGGAAAATATCTGTGTTTTATTACTTCGTGGTGAAGATCCAGAGATTTCAAAGGGAAATGCAGAAGTTGTGTGAGTGAGTGCTGGAGAATTGCCAGCAGTGGTGACCTTGCATGCTGGCACTGCACATAGCACTCATGTGGGATGGGATGCTGAGACACCATTGGTTGTCTGCTTGGGGCCCGTTTGCACTCTCTCTGTGACAGTGGCTGATGACACTTTGTTTTGTTGTCCTGCAGGTTACTCTGGCCAGGACTTTGACTGGGCAGATTACCAGAAGCAATGTGGAGCGGAGGCAGCACCTCACCTGTGCTTTAGAAACGTAAGCTCTCTTTTTGCCTTTGCATTGCTCCTGTCAAGACCTGATTGCTTGCACAGAAAAGCTGCAAGCCTTTGAGAGCTTTCCCCAGACCAGCAAGAGTTTCTTTTAGGAAGGAAGCCAGAAAGATGTTACAGATTTCTGTTTCTGAAATAGAAAAAATATTATCTTACTCTTTTCCTCATTGAAATCAATTGGATTTCTTGCTCTCCATCTCTCTCTGGTTTTGTACAGCGCTTAGTCCAGGAGGGATCTGCACTGACCATTAAAAATAATTGTAATGCTATTAAAAAAATCCCATAAGCTGGGTTAAAAAAACCAGTCTCTTGATGTTCTACCTTGCCAATAGCCTCGTTTTCATGCTTCTATCAGCTGAGGCAAATTGAGATGGAATCATCAATTTCAACCGTAAAGATTGGAAAAGACCTGTAAGATCAGTCCAACTGCATATCTACCACCAATACTGCCCACTAAACCACGTCCCTAAGTACCACATCACCACATTTCTTGAACACCTCCAGAGACAGTGATTCCCCCACCTCCCTGCCAGCTCATTCCAGTGCCCAACCACTGTTTCAGAGAAGTTATTCCTAATATCCAAATTGAGGTCTTATCAACAACTGAAATATTGAAAAATCAGTGGCATCTGAAGTGAACACAGGAGGATTTGCAGAAGAAAGCAGTGTTGTGAATTGTGGAAGCAGGTTCTTTGGGGAGCTGCATACTCCTTCATTACTACTCAGCAGTCATGAGACTGAATGACAGTGTATTTAGAAAAAGCAGAATGAAGACAGTCCAGCAAGACTCCAGCTGTGTTATTGCATGGTTTCTTGGAGGTGTCAAGAGGCTTTCCTCATCCGTGGCAGCCCAAGGGCAGCCTGGTCTGGAATAAACCATTGATTCTGTATTGGTGGATTTGAACACTTTTAGCAGAATTCAGAAGAGTGGTACCATCAACAGAGTTTTGCCCAAATCACAGTTCAGATTTCTTTACCCCATTTATTGTGCAAAACCCTGTGGAGTTCAAGCTGAGATTGCTGAAAGTGCAGAAGGAAATTGAGAAGTGCTGCATCGTACCTATGCAGTGGAACAACTGCTGCATTTCTTCCCTTGTGCAAGCACTCTTTATTTCCTTCTCTCTGTCAAGTAATGGATCTCAGCGCTGGCAGCCTTGAAAGCAGACTCTGTGTAATATTCTCCAAAGATTAAATCAGGTCTAAGTGCTGTTTATTTTAAGGAAACGTTAATCAGATGAACACGTGTCTGTTATTCTTTCAGTGTTGATAACAAAGTTCTCTGCAGAGAGCTGTAATCTTACTGTTGTCCAGTAAGTTCAGTTTGGTCCATTTGTTTCATGCCTATGAACAGCTCTTCAACAGAAACCTCTTTGCAGGCACATTTTCCACCTACTGCAGCCAGACGTGGTGCTGCAAGTGGATATGCTGTAGCTGTTTCCCTAGGGGGGATGTTTAACAAGGAGAGTCAGTTATGAAATGGATTGACACGAACAAATGCTTAGTAAAATAAACTCCCAGCTAACTGTTTTGTCATTGATTCTGTATAAATTAGCCTCCAGCAATGAACTGCACTGAAAGGAGCCTGTGCGATGATAAATGATGTTTCTTTGTTAGGCAGTGTAGCAGGCATTTAAACAAACTCACCCTGCTTTTCTTTAGTGCTGGCCAGTTGCAGTTTTTACTGCAGAGTGAGGACTGGGACAGTCCAAGCAATGCTGGAGCTTAAGAGAGAAATGAAAAGGCACTGGAAGGGATGGAAGGCAAGGATGGAAATTAATGAAGAGTAGTCTGGGGAACCTCAGTCCGAAACAGGTTTCCAGGGCATTTTTTCTTGCAGCAGTGGTACCTAAATGGTTGGAACTGCAGATTCTCTGGCTGCTGAAGTCTTCATTCAGTGGGGGCTGTTGCATTCTTGCAAGCTCGTTACTTCACCTTTTTATCATTTTTTTCATATTTGGAGAGATGACTACTCATTTGGGAACCATTGCAGCAACATCTAATCTGATTTTGCCTTTGTTGAGGAAGAGGGGGAGGACAGTGGGGACCTCAGATAACCCATGGAAGACTTTCTTTGGTGCTGTATATTTAAGCATACAGATTACTGCAGTGGCAGTAAGTATGTCTGGCACCATCTGTATCCACCAACCTCCTGCATTGCTTCCTGATTTGTCATTATCCCTGACTTTCCATGTGTGTGATCGGGGCATCTCCATTTTGAACCTGGATGCTTTCGGGTTCTTCACTTAGAGTGAAAAAAGCGTGCTGAAGTTGTTCTTCCCAGCAGACAGTCTGTTTAAAGCCATGTTTCGTTGTTGGTCCTTGGCTCTTTCAGACATCCTTCAGTCGTGGTTTTACGAAGAACATGAAGCTGGAGGCAGTGAACCCTAGGAACCCTGCAGAGATATGTGTTGCTTCTATCACTTCAGTTAAAGGACGGTTAATGTGGCTTCACCTTGAAGGTATGTGCTACAAATGCTTCTTGTATTTTGTGTAGTTCACTCAAACCCTCTCAACTCTGTCCTTCATACTCTGTCCAGTGTTGCTTACTCTGGCTTTACCTGTTTACACATATTGACTAATAATTGTTTTTGAGAATTGACATCCCCTGATCCCTCCAGGAGAGAGCTTCCACCCTCCCAACCCATATGGATGTTATCAGGGATTTCTGTAATGATGGATCTCTGTCCTGCTTTGTTTATGTGACTGAGACTTCCACTCACATTTCCAATACACTCTTGTGGGATCACAGAATCACAGAATATCCTAAGTTGGAATTGACCCGTAAGATTCATTGAGTCCAACTCTCAGCTTCACGCAGGATCAACAAAATATCTGACCGTAAAGAGATTTTCTGTTCTCTTGCAGCCTCCTTCGTTCCTGCTCCTTTCACTCATTTTTGTCACCTGGATTCCTAAAACCTCAGCAACATGTGCTGCTCCTTACTGCAGCCATTTCCTGCTCACAGCCTTCTACTCTCTCTCTTCTGAGTCTGCAGAGAGTAATTCTGTATTATAGAGTTTAGAAAGCACGCAGGGATCTTTCTTAGTATTGTTTTAAGAACAGTGTTATTTCTAAAGAGTAGAAAGCCATAGTAATTGAAGTGTTCAGATGAGTGCTGTGATAAGCCATAAAGCTGCCGTATCCTTGTCACAACATATTTTAATTTTTACTCATCAAGCTAACATAGTGTTGTTAGAAGCTGCTGGCTTCATCTGCAGTCAATATAAGAACTTCATTTTCCGTATGAAATCAATGGTTATTGGGTCACCATCGGCTACAAATGCCATATGTTTCTTTTATTTCTTTTGGAGAACCATGAAAATACCAAAGGCAATTCACATGGCCTATAGCTCATCACCAGGCTCTAAGATCTGTGCTTCTGAATGAATGCCTAAGGAAGATGTGCCGTTCCTTATGGTGCCAGCCAAAAGGGAAAATTGTGCTGTAACCCTTAATGCAAGTTTATTTTGGCTTTTCCAGGGCAAAACAGCCACGAAGATGTTAATGGAGTTACAAATCCTAGTCAAGCACATGATAGTAAGAGAGGAGAGTACTACAGGGGCTGGGACAAGGGGTTCTTGCAGAGATCCCACTGGAGATGAAGTCTTGTGCCTGTTCTTCCTGTTCACCTCCTTTCCTATGCAAGATGCTGAACTCTCAGTGTTTTGGATCTGGGAAGATATAGGAAGCCAGACCGACCAGAACAGCTTAATCTTTGCCTGATACAGAATTACTTATTCCTTCAGTATGTTCATTGTAATTACCCAGAAGTATTTTAGTGTCTGACAATGTGCAGTGCAGTTTGTATGAGAGGAAAGGTCTGTGATCAAAGCCTGTAAAGTTGGTAATAACATTGACATGTAACTCAAAGTGCCTCATCTATGCTTGGAGCTTGCTCTAAAATATAACAAAGGCAGATGTGCTGTGGCCTTTAGCTCTGCAGAAGTAGCATTATATGGTAGACAAGGCTCTCCCAGCACCTCTGCGATAAATCCCTTTCTCAGAGATTTATACCTCAATTACTACCCGAAGAGAGATTCCTCCTGATCTAAAGCTTGGCAGGCAAAATCGCTTGTACTTTTCATGTCTTTCCTAAGCCCCATAGTTTGGGCTGTCTAAAATCTGGGGAGATCTTCCTTTTGTATTTCCAGCATGTAGCTTTGTCTCCTCTGCATTTGTCTCTAGTGTACAGTGCAGGTATAACTCCACATCTTTGCTTTTGATAGAGCTTTGTGCAGTCGCAGTTGTGGGGTTTTTTTGTTTGTTTGTTTGTTTGTTTTTAATCTGTACTAACTGGAACCAGTTGCCCAAAGCAGTTGTGGATCACCCATCCCCGGAGATGTTCGAGTCCAGATTGGATGGGGCCCTGAGCAGCCTGATCAGAGTGTCAGCCCTCAGCCCAGTGTGTGGAAGGGAACTGGATGATCTTTAAGGTCCCTTCTGACCCAAGCCATTCTGTGATTCTGTGTTTCTGTGATAACTGATTGCCTTCAGACACAAGGTGGCTAAAGCTTATCTGTAGCCTGGTCTGGACACTTGAGAAATATTTTAGTTAAAGAGCTGGAATTAATGGATGTTTGCAATTCATGTGTCACTAATACTGATGTGGAATTTACACCCATGCAGTCCAGGAACCTGGCCCCATTTCACAACAGCCGTTCTTAAATCACAGAATCATAGAATGCCTCAGACTGAAAAGGACCTTAAAGATCATCCACTTCCCATCCCATAGCTGCCACCCACCAGTTCGTACTACCCAGAGCCCCGTCCAGCTTGGCCTTGAATGTCTCCAAGGACAGGACAAAAATGGAGAGGTGCCTTCATTTTTTGGGTTTGGGAATCCATTGTATTTTTTTTTTCAAGCTCTAATGATGGACTCAGCATTCACTAAACTTGCCCAGCATAGTAAACAAGGTGCGCTGTTTCTTGGGTCTTCAAATCAAGATGTCCCCCAAGACCAAAGAGAAAGCTACATGCTTCACACTGCTCCCTTCCCTTCTCTCTTTCTCTCTGTCTTTTACTCCTTTAATTTCTTAAAGGATGTTTCTTTGAGAGCTTGTAATAAAAAACCTGTGTGCATCTCCTTGCCTTACGGATATTCTTACAGATAGATGTTTTACACTTCTTTTATGTCTCAATGCCAGGAGTAGAATGATCTGTAGTAAAAGAAAAAGATGCAGAGGGCTGCAAAAATAAAAAGGCTTTGCTGCTGTTGAAATTCCTGTCTACAGTATACACAGCGTTAGCCTAAAACCAGGCATTAAAAACCCCACAAAACGCTGCTTGCAGAGTTGTAAAGTAAATGTGGCTTGGACGATGGCATCCTTTTTTCAGCTCCGTTAATACACTATTGTTTCTAACTGGTTATTTATATTCTGGTAGCAGCAAGACCCCCAGCTGCCATAGGAGCCCATCACTGGAGACCTCGGGTCCCACCGTTTATCACGGGCACATCTGAAGCTTTCATTGTTGCCCTCAGAGTTTCACCGTTTGACAGTCCAAACTGCAGCCATAAAACAGGACGTAGTATTTAAGCAGTGTCGAGTTAGACGTGAGGGAACATTGCTTAATAAATCATGCTTTGTACAGTAGCAAAACTGTAAACTTCAGGGCAATCATTTAATGAGCAGCAGTATAGTTCCCCTGCAGACAAGAAGAAGTGCAGGGCTGATTTGAGGCTATGCACATCCCATCACTTTCTGCTACTTTATTACTCATCATCTGCATTGTTAATTTTTACGGGTTCATTTTAGATTTTAAAGCTGAAACTTGCTGGTGTGAATTTTTACAAGTGATAATGTACATTCTCTGCACAGAGCAGGAATTTAAGGAAAATTCTTTTGTTAACCACTTCTCCAGAGAGGTTTTCCATAACTTTCCCTTTGAATTTTCCAGAGTTGCTGCTCCATACAATAAGATCTGTAGTAGAAGATGGAAATTCTCACTCTATTTCCCATCCTTCTGTTTTCTGCTTTTCCATTGAACCTCTCCAGTCTTGTGGACATCTCTTGGTGTGGGAAGATGGCAGCATAAAACACAGCAAATGAAACTAATGAGTTTCAAACAAGCTGGTTTCTATTTACATGAATGAGTCCAAATGAAGCAATAAGATGTTGGAAGTGAAAGACAGGATTGCTGGTTGCCAAAGGGAAGATGCAGTGCGAGTGAGGCCAGAATAGCTGTGATCATGTCTTACAAGAATAGTGGTGCTGCAGGAGAACAGATATTATGCTTTTTTCTTGCTCTTCGAGGCACTGCAGCTGTTAAAAACAAAAAGTTCATGTCACATCTGTTGTTGTTTGTGAGCAAGAAGGTACATTTCATCTGTTTATTCGGTCAGAATAATGTGATAGAACAGTTGCAGTGATGAAAATATTGAATTTTCCCAGATCTTGTGAAATTTTAGTGGGGACCATTGATCTCTTGTTGTGTTTAGGGCTCAATCCGTTGCTTACTCATTTTGTTGGATTCAAACTGCGCAGTGACCATTTGTTATTTCCTGATGGAGGTAAGTGGTTGTCCAGGGAGTGCCAACTGCTGAGACCTCACACTGCAGCTTAGTTACTCATGGAAGCAACTAAGTATAAATACTCAGAGGAATACCATGAAAGTCATAGAACTATTACAGTTGGATGAGACACCTAAGGCCATCAAGTCCAACCATCAACTCATCCCCACCATGCCCACTAACCATGTCTCTCAGTGCCACATCTGCTCTGTTCTTGAAGATCTCCTGGGACAGTGGCTCTGTGACCTCCCTAGGTAGCCTGCTCCAACACCTCACCATTCTTTCTAAGAAGAAATTTTTCCTTATATCCAACCTGAACTTCTCCCTAGAAAATATCCATGCATCTGTGCAGACAGCAAGGGTTTTTATTTATTTATTTCTTATTTATTTATTTAAATGCTGTTCTGTTGTTCTTTTTTTTTTTTTTTTTTTTTAATTTCTTCTTGGTTACTATAAGCACTGTTTTCCTTCTTCCTTTGGGCTTTCAGACAACCTCACGCACTCAAGTGCTGCAGCTCAGTCTTGATGCCATTCCCATCACAAAGTTCATTTACTGTTTCAATTACACTACAGGCCGTTGATGAACTTTCATAAGTGGGATGGTCTCTGTAGTCATCTAGCTGAGCTCAGTCAAACACTGCTGCTTCAAGCAGAAGGCAGAGATGCTTTAACAGATGCAAAGATGAGGATGCTTGCAGGAGAAGCTTCTGATCCTGTGGTCTCTTTTATTAAGAGATTGCCTCATGCTGGCACTGGAGCTGTAGATCCTAGTGTGGATGTGGGAGAGCAGGAGGCATTTACTGATGAGGCTGTGCTAGTGCAGATGGACTTGAAATGGAATAATTAAATAGGATCTTGACTCAGAACCCAAAGTTGTTTCCAGAACACCTCAGAATCATTGAGAATATTTCCAGTTGGCTTTGAGTGAGATACATACAAACCAAGACAGGCTAGTGTCTCCTGAAGGAGACATCATAACCGAAGTGAATGAAATTGGTTTTAGGTAGAAATTTCCTTTGGGAACTTGGAGTCAGTGTTATGACAAAGATCGTAGTGCATCTATACTGCTCAGGACTTTCATACTGCCTGTCCCCTATTGGGTGATCAGCTCAAGTTTCATGTGCTGTGGGGAACATTGGGAGAATTCATGGTGTCTTAGACCTTTAAAAATGGTGGCTCATGGGCAGAACTACACAGAAAAGCTTCAGGGGATCATTAGGAAGTAAAGGCTGATCACTTTACCTACAGTTATATTATAGCCACTGTGCATGCTTTTAACAAGAACAAATATCAAACTGTCCTGCTGCTGCTTTGCATGTGCAACTCTACGTGAGAACCTGTGGGTCAATCAAGCAGTCTTGTTGGGGAAAGTCATGCATGCTTAACATCACATTTGAAGCTTTTGCCTGCTCCACTGCACACGCTTAGTGTGTTCTTATTTTTGGTTTTTGCTGGAATCACGTTGCACTGTAAATGCAGCAGCCGTGTCATTCCTGTCTTTGCAAAATTGAAGATGAAATGATTCCTGATTTTGATGCAAGTAAGCAGATTTATTTTCACATGTTCCATCATTTGCTTCCCTCAGTTCGTGATGAATGCTCGAATGGCTCTGAGCGCGTGTCTAAATGGTGTTATAAATTTGTGTTTATAGGTTTACAGATGCCCTCTCCAGAGTACATAGTTGATGTGGAGTCTATGGACATTTTCCCAGTTGGTTGGTGTGAAGCAAATGCTTATAACCTTACTCCACCACACAAAGCTGTTTGTAAGTGCATGGAATCCTCAAGCAGAACATATACTATATCCTATTATATCAACAGATTTATCAGGGAGTTTTTCTGATGTCTGTAATCCAATTCTTAAAACTACTGACCTAGCTAGCAGACCAGTAACCAGGCTGTGAGCATACTGCAAAAAACAGTAATAAATCTAATTAGTGACCAGATGCCACAGCACTGCTGTTACAGGGTTTGTACTTGCCTGTGTGATCAATCTCTCTAAAAATGGGATTGTTTGCACTGGGAAAGGCCATTAGTGGTTTGGGATTGCACAGGGTGGCTTGTGGGTTTGCAGTGGGGTTGTCAGAGTGAAACAGCTGAGTTCAGTGAGGCAGTGGAATGAATGAGGGATACGGGACCTTGAATCAGGAAAAAATTGAGAACAACACCCGTAAAATACAGAACCTGAAGGGACATAAAGAGGTCATGTCTCCCCTAGACAGGATTTACTTTACCTAATGTGAGGAATGTTTGCTGGCCTCTTACAGCTGAGTTTCTGCACCTTCCTAGGATATCAGTTCTGTTGTTTCCCTTCCGTTATCAGTACAGGGCTTTTCCCAGCATCTAACTTAAATCCCTCTTGGCACAATTAAGTCTTGCCCTACATCCAGAGCATACTAAGCTTGCTTTCTTTTTCATTCCCCCCATCTGAGGGTAGTACATGAGCACTCAGTGGCTTGGTGTTGTTCTGTTCCTTGTAGTGACTGTTCAACCCTGATCTCAAGCCACCAGATGAAGAATTAGCCTCACTGTTTGTATTAATTAACATCTGAAAAGCAAATTCTAAAATGTGTCATTCTTTTGAAGAGTTAAATATGCTTAAGTTAAAAATCAAGCAGCCAGGGCCTAATTTGGGAGAACACTGCTATGGCAACATTATGCAGCCTTGTCGCAATTTATGGCTAAGGATAAATTATGCTGGAGGTAATCATGCTTGTAAAATGTAATCATATCCATATGTGTTTCTGTATGGAAAAATATTTGTGTTTTTATTAATTTTTTTTTTATGTTGATCCCATAAAACACAATATTAGCATTCCAGAGGAAAGATTAAATGTATTATTACATCTTTAAAGCAGGTTTTAATGATGTAGTGACTTACTTAAAAATACCAAGAAAAGATGGCAATGGTAATTAAGTACCATTTCATTGTGTTAGGAGTCATTTTATAGTCAGTGCATTTTTATAGCTTTTTATGCATTATGGATGTATTTTATAGGACAAAAGAGTACAAAACTGTTCCTTTGTTTTTGCAGTGAGAAGGAAAAGAAGAATTGCTGTTGTGCAACCAGAAAAGAAGTAAGTTGCTATTATTTAAGGAGGTATTTTTGTAGTGATATATCAGGTCTTCCAGGGGAAGTAATACACAGCAGCTTAGGGACTTTGTCAGCCCCATTTGACACTGTTAAATACTCCAGATTTCTCTGTAACAGGTTACCATCCTCAGTGCCTGTTGAGAAAATACCTCATGACCTCTGCCCAGTTCCTCAGCCAGACACAACAGGTAAGGCTGCTTGGCACCAGCACGTCCTGATGTTAAGGATGAATTGCCTGTTGGAGGGGGACAGCCCTACAAAGGGAGAAAGCATGTCATATGTATGGGGAGATACAGACTCATCCTCAGGGGACGTATGACTCACAGAGTAGGGGCTCTGATGTAAGGGTTTCTCCTCTGCATGGAAATGCAGTATTTAGCTGGGCTTCCCCTGAAGGAAAAAATACCCCAGTCCCCATAGTGTTGAAGGGTAGCTGAACAGTCCTTCTCCTGAATTTTGTCTCTGAGCTGATGCCATACCAAGTGAGAAGCAGCTAACATGTTCCCTTTCTGGCAAGCCATAATGGCGTTGCTCGTGTCCATCTGTGACATGAGTTATGAAATAGCTTCAGGTCATGTCATGAATGAAGTCCATGAAGTCCTTTCTCAGTTCTCCATTCAGTCAAGCATGCAACCATATTGGGTGCTATTAAAAATGTAGTTTTTGCCATGTTGGACAAATTTGAGCAACAAAGGCTTCTCTGTCTTCTATCTTAGGGAAGACATTTTGTAGAAGGAGGGGAGCTCAAAGATCATCCTGCACTCTTTTCCCAATCTTCCCCTTCTAGGAGAAAGAAAGGCACTTGATTCATTGCACAGAAGTGGTGCAACACACACATCATTGCTACTTTCTTCTTGCAGGCACCATCAATGGGAGATACTGCTGCCCCCAGCTCTACATCAACCACCGCTGCTTCTCAGGTCCATATTTAAACAAAGGCAGAATAGCAGAGCTACCTCAGTCTGTCGGGCCTGGCAAGTGCGTGCTGGTCCTTAAAGAGGTATGAGCCAGCTATTTTGGGGGGAATTTTGAGGGGGAAACATGAATCATGGGTTGCTGGGCCTAGAATTTGATAAGAGATACCTAGAATTGTCTTAGAGCTCTGTGGCAGCTTCCATAGGTGGAATAGCTTCCAAGACAGCAAGCATGGAAGGGAAGATATGTATATGCATTGGGATTTGTAGGGGGAGAAGAGTTATTTTTGAAACATGGGGAGTTTTGCTGATTGCTGGTGCAAGTTTCATCTATCTGTGTCTGCTATGCAAGAGAGTATTCTGGCCAAAGCTATGCCACAAGAGGATCTCTGTGATTGCACCCATCAGACTGTTTCTCCTGGCACAAGTCAGTAGATTTGTAATGGGTGATACCATTATTTGAGTGACTGTGGGCCAATGGGGCCCAAACTGTTGGGTTCCAAAGTGACCAGGACAGAAAGCCAAGCACAGGTGTGTGCTAAGCAGAAGCTGAATGCCGTGGAGTTAATCCCACACACCAGGTGTGGCAGAGCACCAGCATCTATGTACTTCATCCCAAACAAATCAGTGCTTGCAATTGCAGAGCCAAATCTAGAGAGTTGAGTGCTTGCTGTTGACCTCAGACAAAAACTATCTTGTTTGAAAAAAAAATACATAAAGATTTTTTGCACAGTTCTGTATACAGTCCATGTACAGCTGAGAGGCAAGGTGACTTCAGGTGGGAGAGGACAAGGTGGTTTTGTTGGATAAGTAGGGTGCCATTGATGCCACGGTCAGTGGAATGGCCCAAGTTGGAAGAGACTCACAACGATTTTTGAGTCCAACTCCTGGCTCCACACAGGACTGCAACAATTTCAACTTGAGTTGGGTCTTCTAGAAATCCAGCTTTTCCAGCTTTCTGGTCTGTACCTTTATGAACCCTACCAATTGCTGATGCAGGGCCATATCTGAGCTCCCTCTGCATAGGGTGAAACAGCAGGGGAACTTTTAGGGCTCCATTTGTCTGACGCATTTGCAAGCCCCTCAGAGCTCAGCTCAGTGAGGTTGTTTGAAGTTGCCTAAAGTGAGATGGATTAAGTTCGAAATGTGAGATTCCTCTCAAATCACCCATGCTTCCTAAATGTGCTTCTTTTGGAATGTAGAGTGACTCCTGTGTTCTTTAATAACCTGTACATACTGCTTTACATACAGTGGCACTGCCAGTTGTTTCACATGTTTAAAAGCTGGGCCATGAAGAGAACCCCATAATTCAGCTGCCTGTGCAGGTGGATATTTGGATTTGAAAGAAGCAAATCAAAAACAGCCATCAGCAGAAAGCAGGATAAAGTAGTTGCGGTGCAAAAGTTGGCAGCTGCCAAATTGGAAAGTCAGTCTGCAGTGGCTTGCTGATGGGGAGCATTAGCAATCTGCTGCTGCTTGAAAAGCAGGCAGTGAAAAAGCAACATGGGGGAAACATGAGGCATGCACAGTCAGTAGTTAAGCTAACTACTCTTCTCCTTCCTGGAATTTGGGTTTTTAAAACATACGTAGTGCAAAGCTTCTATGAGGTCCTTCCCTCATGTCTCGTGCTTTGTTTGCCTATGTATTGTTGCATTGGCTGCCACCAGCTTCCCCAGATTCCTCAAGAATGGACCCTGTTATTCACCATGCAAACCAGCTGAAGTTTCCTACAGGAATCCAATTTTCCCTTGCTCCAACTCCTTGCAGGATTCTATGCTGAAAGAGCAAAGAGCAGTGTCAGAAAGACACAGACATCTTGTTTTTGGAGCCATGAGTGACTTCCAAAGGAGCAGAGCCATGGCAATGGCCCAGTGTTTTGTAGCAGTATTTTGAAGATAAATCCAGGCTTGTAGATCCATGGGGATCATTCCCAAATTCTGGAAGGGCTGAAGAGAACACAATTCAGGGTTTAGCTGTGGAGGAAACACATGTTTCCTATCAGCTGCTGCTAAGATGAAAGACTTTATGCAGCTCAGAGAACCACGGGCAGTGGTAAGGATGGGTCCCCATTCCTCTGGCCCATATTCAGTACCAAGTTTGGTGGCTCTGTCTCACATTATACCCACTGATGATGTAGCCCAGAGAATGCAAATTGCAAGCTGTTGTAAATTATGCACGAGCATAACTTGTCTGGAATAAATAAATTATACATGGGCTTTACTTTGGCAACACACAGGGGAAAGACAACCTGAAACAACAGTTACGAAGGAAGAACAGATTCAGCAGTTGTCTGATCACCCTGGTCTCTAGCTGTAGCTCTCTGCCTTTAGAGTTATTCTAGTTAAAATTTAAACCTGTGCCAGTTGTGAGCAACTCCAGTGGGCAGCTGTCTCTATGATGGAGATGTTACCGTGTTTGGCACTGATGGGTTCATGCTGCTCCTCGGCTGTGTTTTACCCCAAAGTCTTGTCCCTTCCCTGCGTGTGTCTCTGATGCAGTGACACATTCTGCATCCAGCTCCAAACAAACTGGTGGTACCAGCCTGCATACTGCAGTGAGATATCTGATGGTCAGTATCACTTGGCCCTGGACTAAAGAAGGCTGGGAGGTAATTTTGTAATGTGGAGTAGTACATCCCCTTCCAGATGAGTAGTCTGGGCCATTCTCAAAGGGATTTTGAGAGTGCAGTAGCATGAATACACTTGTTTTTTTGCAGCACCTCTTCTCCAGCAAAAAAAGAATCCCCCAGTTTCTGTCCAATTTGCTTTGCTCCAGTGTGTTGGGTGAAGAGGTTGTGAGCTTTGCAGTGAGGAAACTGAGGTACCTCCCAGAATTATCCCCCTTGAGCAAGATGTCTGTGTAAAATTGTTAGAGCAATTACAGTTTATTTGGTGGTGTGATCAAAAATACTGGCTGCAGTTCTGTGTTTGCTTGTGTGTATGCATCCTTCCATCCATGTAGAGCCTTAGATGAGAAACAAAGAACTATTCTCATACCTGGTGCCAAACTTATTCTTAAAGTCAGGAGGTTCATTATTCCTGGTGCCAGCACAAGTCTCTGGTTTACTGTGGCTTCTTTCACCTCAAGGGGCAAGTGAGGACGATAACAACTGTTGTTTAACATCAGCTTCAGAGTTTATCTCATTCCTGAGATGCTTGTTTGGAAAAGAAGTTGAGATTTGGAGCCAAGAGACAGTGGAGATACCAGCTATCAACAGCTGGGCTGGAAATTAGTGGCTGTATAGTAGCTAAGATATCTAAGAAATACTAGCTTTAAGTTAGATTAAAAGAAACACATTGTCAGCTAAAAGTTTCATTCTTGGGTCAGAATATCAGAAAGACTTAGCGGTTCTTTCATCTATGTCAGCAATTTAACCACTAAAACATTATAAAATGAGATGCCTTTTTAAGATTTAAGATGATCTATAACCCACCAAATCTTAAGGAAATACGCTGTAAAGATTAATTAGATTCTTTGTTTACTGCTGTTGCTATTTTAAGACACTTTGCTGTTTTTCTATCTAGATGAAAATAGACTTGCAGATATCATGACTGTTACTGTTTTCAACTGATGCAAGCAGGAAAAATGAGCCACTGTTTGTGAAGGAAAGCTATTGCATTCTGCAACTTGATTTTTTTATTTTTTTTTTTTTTTTGCAGCACAGCATGACTTCTTAGGAGAAATTTGCATAATTAAATCAAAATGCTCAGAAAACCATGTAGCTTGTACTGAGCCTTAGCTGTATAATTGAGCCATGTTGGTGGTGTTATCATTAGCGATCAGATCTTGTGCTAGGATGGCAGAAATCTTTCATAGTTTGGAAAGATATAAGCTGCATTTCTGCAAGCATTGGGTTCATTAGCGTTGTCCTCAAGAGTGCTTCATGGGCACAACTCACTGATAATGGATCTTCCAACTTGGATCTGGCTGTATTTTTGAAATTTCATAGGCTGTCATAAGCACATCAGCACTCATTTGCTACTCCTCGTGTGTGGCAAAAGTGCAGTTCTAGATGCTTGATCATTTAACTTAAAAATCCCAAATAGTTCTTCTTTCCTTCTTTGCCACACAGCTATGTCTTTATTTCAAGTAGAATAAAACAACTTTAGCTATTTCGTCTGAGGTTAGTCTGGGAGTTAGTGTCTCTCCTGTTAGTTAGGAGAAGTGGGATCACATCTTAGAGGAAGGAAACTGACTTTCTCCTCATAAGGATGATGGCCAATGGGCTCTTGAACAGGAGGAGAGGCTTAGTGCTGTTTTGTGATATCATCTCATGGTGCTGTTTCCCGAAAAGCTTCATCCAGGATTGGGATCATTAATGAAGAGGGGTTGAGTGATGAGTAATGTGAAAATCACAACCAATCCATGATGCAAAGAAAGGTGCTGAGTACCCAGTAGCAGCAGGCACTTCTAGATATCCTTTGTAAAGTTATTTGTGCTCTTGGTGTGGGAAAGCTGAGAACTAAGATTCAGGTACTTACAAGGTTTGGCAGAGACTTGAGATGTTGCTGTGTGACTGTGCTCACCAGTGTGGCTTCAGTCTGACTCTGAAAATCCAAAGAAAATTCAGCAGTAACAAAATAAAACTTGTTAGGTATACAGCAGCAAAGCTGGTGTTGTCTCATCCACCCTTCTGCTCGAAGGCACTGCTGGCTCTATCCAAACCATTCCTGATGGAGAGGGCTGAAAATAAATGGAAAAATCTCAGACTCTTCACACTCCAGCCAAAGGGAATTTGGTGAATCAGATTCAAATTTGACCCTTCTGACCTATGTGGAGGGACTTTCTATCTCCAGAGAGAACTGGAAATTGGTCTAGGTTTCGTTGCTGTTTTTGCTTTAATCCTAGTTCATTTCTCTGCAATAAATAAAGTGTTCTTGGATTATTTTTTTTTTTTCTGGCTTTGTCTGTGTGTTTTTTCTTCCCAGTGTTTAATAGTGTGTAATATTAAGAAATAATATTATTAGAAAGTAACATATTCAACATGGTAGAGGACTCCTGTCACACTGTGAAGTGCCAGACTCAGTGACTTATTTGAGAGTAAAAGCTAAAGCTTTTTTTTTAATTAAAAAAAAAAAAAAACCTTTTTTCTTGTCTTAAAGGGAAATGGCTGCTCTTATAAACACTCTTCTAAAAACTTCTTTTGAAGTTTACTGAGGGTTCTGTCGATGATAAGCCAATTCCAGGAGAAGTACTGGCATTGTGAGGCTGCAGTCAATGATGCTCAAGCAGTGCCAACCAGTTATTTGCAAGGTTGGGTCTTCCTGATTTGCAGATCAGGACAGGAAGACATCTGTTGAGTTATATATGAACATGGGAGCCAACCAAGGACTTTGTGGCTTTTGAAAACCTACCTTTGGCTTGTGTGCATTGGATATATGTGTTGGATGTCAGTGCTGTATCTGTATGGTGAGTAGCAGACAAGAAAAGATGTAGATGAGCAGCTGGATGGAGCCACTCGGAAGCTTTCATTTGTTCTCTTGGGAATTTTGGGTCGTGACAAGATAAAAACCAGCTCAAAAGCTGTGTGTAAATCTATATGTGTATGTGTAAGGTAAGGATGTGCTTTTGCCCTTCTTCGTAGAATGCTTTGAGATATACAGGTGATCAGAACTGCGTAAGCCATTGGATGCTGTCATTATAGGCATTGTTTTTGATATCTCCAATTGCACTTTTTTTCCAGCAGATTTCCAACTATCTCTCCCCTATCTCTCAATGATAAATCAAATTTTGCTGCTAGCAAATAATCTAGCCAGGCCACTCAAACCACTTCCATTTTATCTGGTACTATGCAACATCAAGTGAAACCCTCATCAGAAAATGTTCCACCCGACAAGATTTTCAAAAGCCATCAAATCATCATGGTTGCTGCATTGTTTAGTAAAAAATAAAAATAAACTAGTTGCTCCTTGCAATATAATGTAGTTAAATTGTCATTGCTGATGCGGCGTGTTCTTCGGTATGTTGGGGAAACTTAATGCTCATCATACTGAAATCATTTGAAGATGCCTGCAGCCCCTCAAGGAATTAAGAGCAGACATTAGGTAAAGAGCTAAATTATACCAAAACCAATCCAGACTCACTGTGGGATCGTTCATTGACATACAGTGCAGAGTGTTCAAACACATGGTCTGGTGCTATTAAGAGATTTGTTTTTCTTGTACTTATCTCCTTAGGCCAAGTGTAGGCCGTTAAAGCTTAGATTCTCTGTAGGAACTATTTTTATTCTCAAAAACTTTGGATTAAATGGATTAGCACATGTGTTTTATTGTACAGAGTGGACACACACTGGTTTTTAGGCTCACCTCCTGCCAACTCTTTTTATGTATACTTTATTAATATTCTGTTAGTACTGTCAGGGCATGCAGCACTCAGATTCTTAAGTACATTGCCAACCTTAAATGCATGAATTTCCCCTTTAGTATTCATTATATAACAACACATGTGACACTGTCCTTGGCTGAGCCATCAGAGGTATTTTCATTTTCTTATTACGTTGAGCCCTGTGGGTGCAGGGAATGGAATCTTTTTTTGGGTGAGGTCTGTCTCAAGGCACAGCACCTAGGTTCATTTAATGGGACATCTCTGGGGTTAGCCAGCAGCATTTAAAGCAGTTGTGGCACAGTACTGAGGCATTGTCAACAATATACTTCTCATGTTGATTGAATCTGGGGCCTCTTCTTGTTGCGTCTAGCTCTTGCCTTGTGCATCCTTGAGCCTACTAGGCATCTGTAAGCTTCTCCTCCTCATACAGCACCAGAGATCATGTTTGTTGTTGAGGACTGTTTTTAAATCCATCCGTGTTGTTGATTTTATCTCACTAGGTTCTGAGCATGGTGATCAATGCAGCTTACAAGCCAGGGAGCGTTTTACGAGAACTGCAGCTGGTGGAAGATCCTCAGTGGAATTTCCAAGAAGAAACGCTCAAAGCAAAGTAAGTCTTCAGTGTGTGCCCTTTTGTTATGGGAGGCTTCAGAAATGGGGCTGACCAGGAAGAGAAATAACTGTATTGTAAGAGTTTTTTAAATTATCATTTTGCTTCACTGAGTTGCTTGACTTGTTCCATAGCTATTTAACAAGTGAGATTTTCAGTTCTATTGTCTTTCTCCAAGCAGCCATCAAATCTTGCAGAAATAGGACATATTTTTTGTGCAAAATCTTGACTTACACGATAAGGGGCTCCTATAAACTCAGCTATTACTAATTTCACTCAATCCTCAGCTTTTTAAATATAGTGGCATTACTACTTTTAATACAGAGCCTGTCACTCAAATGCAGAAAAACCTGGCAAGAATTGATGGCACCAAAACGTACAAACAAAATAGCAGGGACTTATTTTTAAGCCTGTGAGTGTCTGGGACAAAATATTAGCAGATCTGAGTTTCGCATTATGGTTTAATGTCTTTTTGGAATATGTGCTTCAAGTCTTGTCTAAATAATATTTAAGAAAATTTTTTATCTAGAAAATACTCTGTTTTCCCTTTCTACTTCTAAATGTAACCATTTATGTATTCTTTATGTAGTGGGCACTGTATTTAGTATGCATCTCAATAATTAACTGTTCAACAGCAGGAAAAGCACGTTAGCTCTCTTCAGATACTTCCAAAAAGCAGTTCATCTCATTTTAAGACAAACTCAGCAAATAGTTCCTTCTAGGTAGCAATCTGTTTCTAACCAAGCTTCATCACTTTGACTTTTTGAGTACTGATGCTAAATGGAGTGAATTTCACACTCTGTACTGAACTTTTACTCCTTTTTGAATAAAAGCAATTTTATTTTGTGTATTTACAATGATTGGCATCAAATATGGAATTATTGATTGCTATTGTATTTGTTCTTTGGCCATGCAGACACTGCAGAAATCCCATATCTGCTCTTATTAAGGGAGAGAATTGAGAACCTTTTATCCTTCCTAGTCAGAAACTTTTTCTAAAGGAGAATTGCAATTAGAAATGAAAAGCTACCGTTTTCATTTGCTTCTCCCACTCATGTGGAAGGTCATGCTTTTGTGTTCATCGAACAAAGCTTTGTGGATTGGAATCCAAAAGTCGTATTTGTGCCTGCAAATTTCCATTAAAAAACAGTGGACAATGATTTCACTGATTGCAGGATCCTGTCAAATGACAGATAATGCACTGCAGCAGGTTCTAAGCAGCTGTGAAGTCAAGTCTTAGTGCCCCAACTTTACGTTCTGTTCTGTTTATGGGTAGCTTTTCTAGAAGCAGTGTTCAGAATATAATAATAATATAATTGTTGGGGTTTCTTATTTGAGCGTGAGTATCTGCCTTGTGCAAAAGCAATGTTACGTAGTTTGTAACTTTTGCAACCTTTGTTTCTATCAGGAGACAAACGTTTAATTTTCCAACAAGCACAGAGGTGTTTTGTCCTTAGTAGTCAGCTATATCTACTGCCAATCCACTGAGATCCCAGGCAGTCTGTGGGCTCTGGGCATGCTTATACCAGGAAGACCAACCTAATCAGGAATATGTGGTCCGCCAGAGCTCATCACCCACCTGTTCCATATCAGCCATTTATCCTCCCTCATGTTACCTGGTGTGCTAACTATACTGTAGTGAGCACCTCCATCTCTTCTGCCTTCCCCCATGGTATTTCCGTTCATCTTTTCGGGTAGCAGTCTCAGCTCTCAACAAGTCAAATAGCATTTTTCGACTTTATCAAGCCACAGAATGGGTCTTCACAGACTCAGAGCTAGGACATCAAGTTTTGGTGTCACTTCTAAGCACTGAAAGATATTCGGTATTGCCTTGTTCTCTGCCTCCTGAGCTCTAATGAAACTGGAGAAAACTGTATGGGTGCATCTGTCTGGTTTCTGGAGTGGTGCTGGCTGATGAAACCAACTTGCCTGCAAGTAGCTGGGATACTTTTTATTGATTGTCAGAGGATAGACGTACCCTACCTGAATACCCTTGGACTTCTCTTTTCCTTCCGGAGTTTACTTGAGCTGCTTCATCAAGAAGCCTGCTGGGGCTTTAATTGCATCTTGTGCAGAAGTGGGAAAGAAAACATGCTGATGAAATCAGATACCCTGGGATGTGCAAACTGCACATGACATGCTACATCAGGTATGACAGTCGGTTGTGCTCCAGAATCTTAAACAGAGCCCTATAACGAGCAAACGCCTGTCTACACAGACTTCCAGCTATGCTGGCTCCCAATGGTGTCTTGCTGCTAATGATGACAGCTCTACAGCCAGCTGCAGCATCTGTGCTGTAATGTGACATGTCATGTCACCTCCTTCCTTCTGATATAAACTGACAAGTCCTTAGATCTTGATAATGTTGTTGTTTGTTTGCAGCAATGGCTGCAGTAAAGAAGAGAGATGGTGAGGGAGGAGGATGGTGAGAAGGCAGCATTTTTTCCCACTGACCCAAATGCTAAATTATTCAGTGCTGGGAAGGCATTATCTCAGTCCTAGTGCGAGGTGCATTTAGTTTACTCTGCTGTCACAAGTGACCAGTACAGAATCAATTATGCTAGCCTTGCAAAGAAGATAAACAATTTAGATTGTCCAAAGAGATGGGTCTGCAATGTGTGATGGCATTCACTTCCCATCAGCACTACTGGCTTTCTGTGAAAATAGTTGAACTTGATTTATTGGTGATGATGAGTTAGAAATGTCAAGCCTAATCCACTGAATTCCCATGAGGACAGACAGACAAAGCTATGGACATTCAGCCCTTATGGTTTTGATGCTTTAATTTCAGTGCCCTCATCTAGATTTGGCTTCCCAATTTGAAAAAGACATGAGGGCCTTTATGCTTTGTAAGAGCCTTTACTTATAAGAGCTGTAAGTGGAGTTGAATGGACTTACCCATTCTTTTAGGTAAGGACTTAGTACACAAAAAATACCAGTCTATGTGAATTATCTGGGGTCTAATTTGAAGTCCAGTTGATCAAACTAAGAAAGATGGGTATTCCTGGACTACTTATTAAATGAAATTCTGAGACCTGCTCAAATCCACTAGCTGTAGTCTAGAAATATTGACCCCAAATCGCAGACACGGTGACTTATTTATGAAGCTGTATTTCCAATGAAGTCTTTACAACATGAACACTTTACAAAACTGCCTTTCACTTGTGTTGAGGTATTTGATGTTTTCTTTGCCTTGCTTTTGCCTTAACAGCTGTTAGGGGTTGTGCTTCAGCCTCTCAGGTCCCTATCACTCTTTGAAGGAGAGAAGGAGTGAAGCATTTATTAACCATGGAAGACAGAAATAACCTCGGGATGACATAAGCAAACTGAATGTAGTGAACTGCATGTAGCCAGATGGGATGCATCCAGTTCTGCTTGAGGGAACTTGCTTGATGTCATTGCAAGGCCACTCTGTCACGTTTGAAATTTCATATGATAAGGAAAGTTCCCTCATTTTTTGAAAAAAGGTAAAAGTCAGATCCTTCCTCAAGATGGGCAAGAAGGAGAATCCAAGTAACTACAGGCTGGTCAGCATAACCTCAGTCTTTGGAAAGATTATTAAGCAACGTCCTCCTGGAAGCCATTTTCAGGAATATGCAGGACAAGAAAGTGACTGGGAAGAGCCAGTGCGGACTTAAAAAGAACAAGTTGCACCTCATGTGATGAGATGACTGCTTTGGTGGTTGTGGGAAAAGCAATGGAACTTATTTGTGTTTAATTTAGCAAGGATTTGACAGTCTCCCATAGTGTCCTTATAGCCAAGCTGTGGAGATGTGAATTGGATGTGTGCCTGGTGGGTGGAAAACTGGCTGGACAGCTGATCCCAAGGGGTTGTGATCAGTGATATGAAGTCCAAGTGGCAGCCAGTTATTAATGGTTGTCCTCAAATGTTAGTACAAAGCTACAACTCATATGATGTGATTTGTCTTCTGCGTCAGCTCTGCGACATACTTCTTGAGGCGTTGCAAGGGTGAATTAGTGTAATCATTTGGCCTTTTGTGCCAATTACTGGAGATGGAATACACTACCAGCAGTGGAGTGACTTAAACCTTGTCATAATGAGGAAACTTACCAAGACATGTATTTTCAATAAGAATAATTTCAGTACCCTCTTCAAATCACATTTTCAATATTACAAAATATCACTGGGTGATCAGATAGCTCTGGAAGAAGAAACTACCACATTTCTGTTTTTTTTACCCAGATTAGGAGAATTTGTAAAATCCCCATATTTAGAATACCCTGAGTAGCTTTGGGGTGCCAGTTTTGATGAAAACTTTGGTGTTTTTTTCTCTGTGGCAGTTGCAGTGCTGCCTGAAGGCAGGGTCTCATTCCAACATTGTGAAATGGATGTTAGACAGTTTCTGCTGCCGTCACGGTAAATTGCTTCAAGTAGATGAGATGGAGAGAGACTTTGGTTGTCTTCTGTGGGTAGCCAGTGTTCCTAGGGGATTTCTCATTTTTGGTGGACTTCGGCTTTTTAAAGCAAATTCTTGCAAAAGAAGAGATAGAAGTTTTTGATCCCTGAAAGAAATGGAAGCTTTTAGCCATTGAGTTATTCAAAATAGTCTCAAAAATTGTCAGAACTGTGGGCTGTTATCCTTGTGATGAAACCTTTGAAAATGAGGGTAGTCTCAACGCTCTTGCTGTTTGATGTGTCTTCAGCATGAGGCTTTTCACAATATCACACAATGGACCCCAGCTGGAGCTCTTAGAAGATAGTTTATTCTCATGAATCTCAAATTCCAAAAGAAGAATAAGTATGACACAGCTAGCAAATTGCTATTAGCTCAGTATTGTTGCTCATGGATCAACAAAGATCCTGAGAACATTTTTTCCTGAAAATAACTTCAGCCAAAATACTTTCTCCAAGTTTTGGGATCTGAAGGTGGGGCAGTGGGACAGGAAAGGGAGATTCATTTACCTGTAGCTGAAAAATCTTTTATAAAGACCAGTGACTTTCAAAAAACCCAAATATATTATTCTTGACACAGCTGTTTTCCATGTCTGCAGTGCTGCCATGCTGTGCATGCAGTTCACTTAGTGCTTAAAAGTCTTAATGAAAATGGGAGTCCTTGGATGAGAGCATCAATAGGAATATCAGCAGTAGGTGATTTTTTGAATGATACTAATGGAAAAGAGTTTTCTGATACCCAGAGGCACTCTTTCCACATAGCTGTCCTAAACCACTTTTGGTGGTGTTTGTGTTACAAATCTTCAGTATGAGGAAAATGGAAAATACTAGTAGAACCTGGTTTATGATTGAAAGAGGTGCTGCCAAGGCCAAAATCTTGTAAAAATATTTTACTATTGCCAGCGCTAACATGTTGGGTTATTGAGGCTGATGGGTGCAGTTACGTTAAGCTGCATTTTGCCACCCGTTCTGTTAATTGATGTGTGCATTGCATTCAGACCAGACTGTGAAATCAGACAGCTGTTCATTTGCCTAGTTTCATCTTTTTCTTTTACCAGGCTCTGTAGTACAATGAGTCTTTTCTGGATAGCCAAACACAATAGGAAGTACATGGTTAGAAGAAGTCAGCCATCCTTGAATAATGCCCATCAGGCAGCTCTCTTAGCTTGCAAGAAAGAAGATCAAGAAGCAATTTGATTACAGTGCTTTTGCAGGGAAACAAAGCCAGATGCAGTCTTCTCATCCTAGTGGTGAAAGTCAGAACAAGGACAAATTAAAAGTAAGTTAAATCCACATGCTTCCATACACAAAATGAAACACAGGCTTATGGGTACAGATGCTCCTGCTGCCAGGATTCTTCCAGCATGAAGAGGAAGCTGGTGCTTTGCTGGAAGTGATGCTCTAGTTCAACCAAAGTTGTTGAGGGTTCAGGTGAATGTAACTGAAATTCCTAAGCCTGTCACTGGATTCAGATTCAGTGACCTAACAATCTAAGCTGGCCTTAAACTTAATGGCTCCTGGAGAAGTAATAAGGGCAGGAGTCTTTTCAATCATGTTGAAAATAAATAGAAAACATTTGTAGGTAGATATATTTAAATGTAGGTAGATATATTTAAATGCCAAAAGGTAGAGTGGAGACTACAACCTTCACTACATCCTAAAGACATTCTTTAAATAATTAAATAAATTTAATGGCATTTAAATACATCTACCTACAAGTAGATAACAAAGTCCAAAGAAGGACTTTGTTCTTTTTATATTATGTATTGCCAAACCTCCTTTAGCTAACCAGTGCTTTATAGGGAAGCTGGAATAACAGTGCTCTCTATCAGGAGGAAGAACTTTTTTCCATTTTATATCATCTATCTGCCAAGGTCTGTCAGGGTGCATGAAGGGTTGGCTAATAAAATAATTTATTCATGCATTCATTCCAGCATTGTCTCTATAGCTAGGGGTCCTTGTTCAAACACCAAATAGGCTGTCAGAGCCTGCTGCCTTGCAGAGATGCTATTTTAGATTCTGGAAGAGAGAGTTGTATTGAGGTGATAGTTTGGATCAAGTCTTCTGCAACATGAGGATGGCTGAGTTGAGCTGTTTTCAGACCCAAGTTTTATTTGACATAGTTTAATTAGCATGGTGGTGGTGGGTTGATGGTTGGACTAGATGATCTCAGTGGTCTTTTCCCACCTTTATGATTCTGTGATTGAGTACCCTGTATAACTTTGTATACCATGGGGTTGAACCTTCTTCCCATATCCCCGTGCTTCCAGAAAGGGTTGCTGGGAGGTAGAGCTGGAAGAGTTGGTTTCTCACTTGCTTTGCACATCTCAGTAGAAACTTCAGAGAGAGGGAATTGGGTCTGGGTATATGCCGTGTATTTTGATTCTCCAGCCACATCTTCTTTGCTTCTCCTTCTGTTCGCCTTTCATATTTGACTGTCAGGAGCTGCTCCCTTACTAGTGAACTGTAGATCTTAGTACTTTCACAAGTCCTTTGTCTTGTTTTTCCTGATGACTTCCAAACCAGTAATCTGTGTCTTTCACTCTCTCTCCCTCTTTCAGTTCTGTGTGTGTTACTTTTTTCTCTTCTAAACACATTAGTAATGCCTAAGCACCAGACATTTGCATGATTGTCTCTTGTGTTGCTCCTTAGGATGTGTAAGAGATGTTTTAAAAACCTTATCTCACAGTTTACAATAGCTCAGTGCTGCTGTTCAATAAATTGTGGGGATAATTAGTTTTTCAGAGTTCACATCTACAGTGTTTTACAGCAGGGATGTAACTGTATCTTTCTTAGCCATTTATCGCTCAGAAACACTTTGTGTAAAACAGTGGAATAAATGGTTTAGTACCACATGGATAACGAATTTCAGGCAAATGTTTCATTGCAGATTTCTGCTCTAAGCATTCCCTGTAGGAATCACTGGTTTTAGGGCCTGTTCTCGTAACCCTGTTAAACCACTCAGTAGACTCCTTATTAGTTCCTCAGGTTGTGTGCTACCCAGATCTCATAGCAGTGAAGTCATCTGGTCTCCATATGGCAAGCAATCCCATTTCACCTTGATACTTCTGCATTGTGTATGTGTTCAGTGACTGAAGTTGGCACAACAACAGTGTGAGCGTGTTGTGGTATGGAACATGAGGCGAGAACTGCTTTGAGAAAGGCAGCAATAGAGAAGACAAAACGTAGAGTGGAGACTACAACCTTCACTACATCCTAAAGACAAAGTGGTAACCAGGAGGTTTTGCAAGGCATGTAAGCTTATAAGCTTCTCTCAGGTCCATATGTGAGAAAGGTCACCTGTCTCTTCAGTACTTTGTATCAGCTCAAAGGATGATATCCACACCAACTGGATATGAATTTTTTGTCTTGCCGTATCTCCAGTTTGCACATGCATTCCTTTCTAAACCATGTCCTTGCCTCAGCTTCTAGGATCATTCTACCCTTCTTTTCTATTTTCAAGCATTCCACGATCAGTCTACCCTACTTATTTTTCAAGTCAATCTGAAAGAGAGTCATGTAGGCAAACAGAACTATTCTGCCTGCCTGCCCACGAGACTCTCCCAAAAGGTGTTAGGGAATGTATCTCCCTAAAAGAGGGCAGAGTCTGCTGTGTAGCATCAAAAGACAACACTTGATTGGTAACATTGGATCTCCTTGTACTCATTTCTAGATACAGAGGGAAGACATACAGGGCGACTGTTAAGATTGTGCGAACGTCGGATCAGGTAGCAGATTTCTGCAGAAGAGTCTGTGCAAAGTTGGAGTGCTGTCCCAATTTGTTCAGTCCTGTGCTGGTGGCTGAAGTCTGCCCAGAGAACTGCTCCATTCATACTAAAACCAAGTACAGTGAGTATTGACTGGGAGGCTTGTTGCTAGCCAGGATTCAGGGCAGTGGGATGCTATGTGTGAGCTAGTTATGAAGAAAAAGAGTTGTGTGATACAGTAGTATTGAGTGGGACTCACCTCTTGTAGTTAGAGTAGGTACAGTACTTGTAGTTACTTGGTTCTGACCAAATCACTGCGAGCTTCCTTGTTATTCTCTACAAATAAATGGGCATCTCCAGAAAACAGTCCATTTCACTCCATCCAAATACATCTCTTTGAAACTCACTGCTCTTTGGAAGCTTTGACTTTTCTTTGTATGTAAAGATAATATAAGGAACATAAAAAGAAGTCCAAAATACTGAAAGTTAGAAAACAAAAGCAAAACATATTCCTTTGTGTGTCAAAGAAACATACATAATTCAGGTTACCTGGCCCTTTCCACCATCCACTGAAACCATTAGCAATTGAAAGTGTGTGTTAACTCATGCAGAAGGGCATTAGATCAAATCTGAAGCATGCTGTCCTCTCATTTCAAGTTGGTCTAAGTGCAGAGTGTGGGGTTAAATTCTGAACTCATCACTCATCACCAATAAAAATGTAAACATAAGAGTTGTATCACTTTGTGCTAGTCCACAATGGTATCTTTTATTTATACTGGACATTTTTTTTCCAAATCAGGGTATTTTAGAGTTCCTTGTAAAAGTGCACCTAGAGTGTAACACTGAATCAGTAGCAAGAAGCAAGCTGAAGCTCTCTTCTTTTGGTGGTTAAAGGTTTTAACAAGCGTTTTGATTTCCTTCCTCCAGCTTATTATTATGGAAAGAGGAAAAAAATCATTAAGCCACCAATTGGGGAAAATAATAACATGAAAAGTGGGCACGTCAAGCCCACCAGACGCAGAAAAAGGCGGAAATCCATCTTTGTGCAGAAGAAAAGAAGGTCATCAGCTGTTGATCTGAATGCTGCAGGCTCTGCAGAGGTATGCATTACACTGGGAAAAATCAGCAGGTGCCCCCGGTGCTTTCCCCTCTGTCCTCATCTCCTTTTCAAGGGACTTCTCAGCAAACCCCATCACTTCTATCACTCCTTTTGAAACCCACCTTACCACCTTCCTCATCTAACATTAAATTAATTACATTGGGACACTTTATGGACTTTCACCCTTGACCATTCTAGAATTAGAAGATACTGTTTTTCTTTCCACCTTCATAAGGTTTGGTAGCTATTGCACTGTCAAATACTGTATCTGTTTTCTTTTGCTTCCTTATAGCCCTGTGGGCAGACAGATGGGCCTGTTTGGTGTTTGGTTCAGCATCTAAGATCTCAAAATATTCTAGTAAATAATAATAACTCTTGGGCATTATGGTTTCAAGGGCTTTTAATTTTTCATTAACCCTTTGTAGTATTTTTGGTTCACCACTGCTAACAGCAGAAGTGTGAGAGGCCTTAGAAATCAAGTAAATAGTTTGTGTCCCAAATATGTGGTATCTGAGGCCTCAGTCTTTTCAGGATGCGGTGTGATACAGGACCCTGAATTTTTCAGTGATTTGTGTCCATCTGGAACCTGTAGCCATTGTGGTTAAATACCTTCTGTGTGAACCCTTTTCCAGGTGATTTTCTTGTGGTAGTAATGAGAAAACACATGTTTTTGTTCTGTTTCCTTTCCTCAGCTGAGCACCATTTATTGTTACTTCATGCAGTGAGAAAGCAAACTGATTTGGTTAAATTCCCTCTAATTCATATGGAGGGGAGCAGCTTAAGCCACTGTCACTTGATGGCTTACATCTTCATGGCTCAGTCCTCCTTTAGATGGGGTTCAGGCTTATTTCCTTAAATTATACTGCCTAAAAGGAATTTAAACTGAAATAAACACATTTTGAGCTGAAATCAACCATTAACCAAGTTTTTCAGCCTTTCAACCAATATAACTGGTTTGGGCTAGAATTCAGCTAAAACCTATGCATATGCATTGGATGCATGCTCACACTTCATTCAGAACTAAGATATCAAAGCCATTTTGGCTACTTATGTATAAAGTTCAAGATACACAGTTTCCATCAGTTGATTTATATTTGCAAACTCTGTGTTACAGAAATCCCAAGAATTTAGTGTGGTTTCCTTTACCTGAAAATTTGTGCTGCTCTGTCAGTACTTAAATGTTGGGCTGAAAGCAGGCAATCTAAGAGAAGTCCTTTGTACTGAATTTTACAGAAATGGCCAGCTGAGCAATAAGACATACGCATTGGTACATCTAGATATTTTAAAAAGACACCAGCATTTCTTTCTGTTTAGTACCAGTGACACCCATGGCCATTTGAAGTAAGGTGAAATGTTGAAGTAAGGCAAAATTTTCAACTCCCCTGCTTATTGTAGGGAAGTTGGAATAAATGTACTTCAAGGCTCCGTTCCAACTCAAATAATTCTATGATTCCATGATTCTTTGAAAGCCTATTTAAGATTTTGCTTCGTTTCAAGCAACCTGTGTTTCACTCTATGCTTTAAGTATTTTCCATTTCCCCTTCTCATGCACATCTGCAGTGCTGTAAGGTTTGAGATGCCAACACAGCAGCGGAATGTTTCGTGCCAAATGAGTTATTACCATTGACCTTTTGTTAGAAACAAAAAAAGAACTTGTTCACTAGCTGTTTTTCAATTCTGTATTTTGTTATGAATCTAAATTGAAGGTTAATCGACTTGGCACTATAATGAAAATGAAATATTTGGTTAAAATAAATGTTACTCTAGGCCACCATGGAACACATGGGTGCAACTGAGGGAAGCAACTGAGGGAACTGGGATTGTTCAGTCTGGAGGAGGCTCAGGGGAGACCATATTGCTCTCTACAGCTGCCTGAAACGAAGTTGTAGTAAGGAGGAGGTTGGCTTCTTCTCACAGGAACTGATAGGATAAGAAGGAATGGCCTTAAATTGCAACAGGGGAGGTTCGGTTGGATATTAGGAAAAATTTCTTCTCAGAAAAAGTGATGAGGTATTGGAACAGGCTGCCCAATAAGGTGGTTGAGTCACCATCCTTGGAGGTGTTCAGGAAATGTGGAGATGTGGCACTGAGGGACGTGGTTTAGTGTCGTGGTCATGATGGATTGATGGCTGGATGAGACGACCTTAGAGTTCTTTCCAGCCTTAGTGGTTCTGTGGTTCTATGACATGGGCCCTGCAGTTTAGCCTCGTGTCTCTTGATCTGCTGCTGTATCAATCTCTGAGCCCAGGTGCCCTTTTCGTGCTGGTCTTTGTGCAGGAGAGTGAAGAAGACGAGCCGGATGCAGTTGAGGATGAGACGGGAAGCGAGGAGACGAGCTCAGAGCTCCGTGATGATCAAACAGATACCTCCTCTGCTGAGGTCCCTTCTGCAAGGCCCCGCAGAGCAGTTACCTTGCGCAGCAGCACTGAGTCGGACAGACCTCCTCCTATGGAGAGGGCCCGGCGGAGCCGCCGGCCACAAGCCGTGTCTTGCAGTGAGGTGGAGAAGTCACCACAGCTCAAGGAAGTGAGTATGACCCCAGGCTACCAATATTTTCCCTGCACCATCCTTCAGTGCCTAACCTTTCTCATCTGAGGAGGGCATCCCTACAGTGCAGCTGCATGGCTTCCCACACCATGTGGCTTTCTTTAAGATAACTATTTTTTTGTAGGAAATTAAGCACGAAGAAGAAGAGAAGCTCATCCTGGACAGTAATCCCTTGGAGTGGACTGTGACTGATGTTGTGAGGTTTATTAAACTGACTGACTGTGCACCCCTTGCCAAAATATTTCAGGAGCAGGTAGAGATCTTTATGTAACTCTTCTTATGTCTGTGGTGCTTATTCACAGTAAAAATAAATAATAAATAAAGCAATGCATGTTGCTAGCCTTGGACCCAGGGCTTCCACAAAGAGCTTGTAAGCAAATTTCAAATCCCTTGAGGCCAAGCTATGGCAAACAGCTGGACAAGGCATGAGTACCCTCAGAAATTCAAGTCAAAGCCTTGTCAGATACTCAGAGAGCAGAAACCCGCTCTTCACCCCCTAGTCAGTGTCCTTGTCAAAAGCACAACGTTTACATCTTTCATACCAGTGGTTCTGTGACAAGACCCACAGCACAATTCCAGTGTTGCAGAGGCACTCTGGTGTACCAACAAATAGTGGTTACTTGTTACACAGCTAGCCATCTCTCCCTAGCCCCCTTGAGTTTCACTTTGTTTTAAAATATTGGCCTGCAGAGTAGAAATTTCCCAACTGAACCCCAGATTGGCTGCATGAATTTTGATGCCAATACCTGGATGCTCCAAGTGTGTAGACACTTCCCATCTACATCCCTTGAAAGATCTGACAGGCAGGCCGTTTGGTGACCTAATTTTAGCAGATGCCGGACATCTCTGATTAAATAGATAAGTTTGGAGGAGTAGAAGCCAATGTTCTGCATCTGAAGTTAGTGAACATGTAAAATTTATATAAAACAGACATTCCGTGGCTAATAAGTAACAGCCTCTGGTAAAAGTGAAGGGCAGCTCTAGGAAATCATGGTTAGAAAGAAGCAAGTGTGGTTCATTAGTCCATAGCCCTTGGTTGTATGGCTAACTGCATATTTTATTATTTCTGATTCTTCACTGTGTATAGCTCTGTTCCAGATTACAATAGGTTTGATAGGAAGAAATTGAAGTGTGTGTAGAGCAAGGCTGAAACGCTCTCATAAGAAGATCCTGTAGTTGCTGCACTGCAGCATGCTACAACCATTTGTTAATCAGCCTGGAGTAACTCCAAGGTTTGAAAGCCAACCCTGTCCCTCCTGGGCCATAGAGTTTTATGGTAACCGTAATCAAACACAGATGACTGCAGATTTTCCTTGCTATTTGCTGTACCATTCAATTATACCATCAAGCTTTGGTGTTTGGCTTTGGACCTGAGCAATGGTCAGTCCTAATCAAAGCAGTGTTTAAGGGGTCCAAATCCTCCCTCTGTTTAGCACTACCCAATCAGGGCTTTCCTGGGGAGTTCATGGTGCCTGTGAGTTACTATACTTTCTGTGCATTTCCAATCTGATCTTCCCTAAGAGTTAAAAAGCAGTTTTGTAGCCAAGTCATCTGCTTCTTAGTCTATTAAAGAATAAACAGAACTTGAGCACTTAATTAAAGAAGGATCAGAAAGCTAACAGAAATCCCTAATAAAATGTCTTCAGTCTGGGGTGCTAGTTTAGAGAGTTTGGTGCATGAGTGCACCTGAAGGAAGGACATGACCTCCAGAGGACTCTTCACTGTGAGATTCTGTGACGTTAGAGTTGGAAATCCAGGTCCATTCTTCTTGATTATTCAGCAGATTATGTTGAACAGGGCAGATCCTAGGTGGCTTGGGGGACTTGGCATGGGATAAGGCAGACATAAACCTGTGCTGAACAAAAGAGAGGAAGAAAAGGTCTTGTTTGGTGCTGTGAAGCTGACTTAAGTTTTTCTGTTCAGCACTGCAGCCTTGTTCTTGCTTCATTTGCTCAACCACAGAATGGAGTTTGTCTGATCTCTGTAGTCCTCTGCAGAGTTTCTTTAAAAGGTGATCTGCTAGACTTTCCTTATATGATGGATGAGAGCCTGTGAGGTCACAGTAGATAACTTCTAAAGAAGCATCATGTATTCCAGAAAAAGGAGATGAGCTGCATTGAAGTGTGAGAATAGGGCAGAGAACAAAGTTGTCTTCAGTTTTGAGGGCAGATTTCCTTTCTTGTTTCTCAAAACATCTCTGCCTTCAAGAGTCCACAAGCAAAACCATTATCACTGTTTTTCTTCCTCAGGACATTGATGGCCAAGCCCTTCTGTTGCTGACGCTGCCCACGGTGCAAGAATGCATGGAGCTGAAGCTTGGTCCAGCCATCAAACTGTGCCACCAGATCGAGCGAGTAAAAGTCGCGTTCTATGCACAATATGCCAACTGACTGCACTTCTCTCTTTCTTTCTGTTCACCTTCTCATTCCCTCTATTTTTTAACATCACAACTTGTTCACGTTTTTTTTTCCTCTTCCTCTTTTCTTAAAAAAAAAAAAAAAAAAAATTCCTGGAATTTGGAAGCGCTGAGAATTAATCTGTAGGGGGAAAAATAACACAACAAAAAATCTAGCAACAAATTGAACTAACTGTTGTAAAGCACAGCGTTGGTATCTCTCCTCATGAGCTTTGCCAGCATGGATCAGATGGATTGTCGTCCTTTAAAGCAAAGCTACCTATGGCAGATACGTTTCCACGGTGAATAGTCGGACATTTTCAGTAATGATGGTTTGTCTTCGTCAATTTCTGGACATGAACAGTCCTTTTAGTCAACTCTGACACACTTCTTTCATATTGAAATGGAAGTGAGAATTTGTAACGTTACCTGGGCTTTACTGCAAATTTGATCTTAGTGATCATTAGGCTTTCTTTCACCTCCTCCCCAGTCATACAAAAGGAAGAAGTGTTATACCAGTCATATGCTGTTTGCTGTTGAGTGAGTTATAAAGCAGGACTCAACCCACTGTCTTTGAATGGTATCACACAAAGCTGCAGCCAGTTGACAGACCTTAGGCATAATAATGTTTTCTGAGCAATGGTGGCCACAGTGAGCTGAATGTCTCACTGATGGGATCTGTGCAGTACTGCATTCATGTGAAGGACCATACATGAAAACCTCCAAAGTCAAGCCTATCCAGTTATATTTGGGTCACTGAACATAGGCCAGACTTTGCAACTCAAGGGGTGAAAAAAATAGGGGGAGGGGAGTCCAGATTTAATGGCAAGACTGTTCAGCACATGCTGATTTAACTTGCACCTTTGTCAGTCTGGTTACTAGGTGGGAATAAAAACCATCAATATTTTCAGGCTGTGTACACAGTGGTGCTTTAGTCCAACTGACACATCCAACCCAGTGCATCTTCTGTCAGTAATCTGTATAAAGCCCCAACTGTGTCCCAGTGGCAGACTGGCCAGTGAAACTGGGGCCTTGCTTCGTGCCAAGTAGGGTGAGCACCACAGGGAGTGAAGAAGCGGGACAGACATCTTGGGCTTGCCTCAATTGTGCATACAAGATGAGTATTTTCTACTTACTTTACAGGGATATATGGCCCTGTGAGTGCCACATGTTGACCTCAGCAGTGGTTGGTGGCATCACATTGGTGTAAAATTCTCTTGAAAGCAAGAACCAAACTGGTTCTTCAGACCAAGTCTGAATTTTGCTCTGACTTTAGGTGCAGGTGAATTCTTCCCTCAAAAAGTGAATGGGGTAGTTTGGGCTGATTTCATCAGAAACCACTGACTTCAGTAGACTTTTTTTCTACAAACTGGAAACAGACCCCAGTTCCCTGTTCTCAGGGAACACAGCCTAGAAATATAGTACAGTCACATGACAGTGTTGTGATGCCAAAGCCTGCTCAACTAAGACCTCTTCAAAAATAAATGTCATTTCTAACTCTGAATCTGAAGAGATTTCTTAGGGCCAATAACCCCATCTCAAACAGTTAACATATGGTGACAACAGACTTGGATCACATGGTCCTGCAGGCCTCAGTGCGCTCAGGAGAACCTACTGACCAACATCAGGCTATAGCTGGTGCTTTCTCCTTCATCAGTTTCCTCCTTAAAATCTTTGGTTTAGAGGTGGAAAGCCTCAGAAATAGAGATTCTGAATTATGTCCAGATTTGGTCTGGGGCATGGATTAGGTAAGAAGTATGGCCATGCATTGTGAAGACATTCTAGTCCATCTTTAAAGGGGATTCCTGATTTGCCATTGGGGAGTGTGATGTGTGCAAGCTGGGCCAATTCCTGCCAGCTCATGAGACTTCACAGAAAATTTTCTTCTACTGAAGATCTTGTTCAAGTTTTAATCAAATGAAGGAGCACATAGTCATTGCTGTGCCAAAATGCTTCCTTTTGTTTCTAAGAAATCTAGGAATAGGGTTCCACAGTATTGCAGACATTCAAAAACTTGGCTTCAGACTGGATTTCCTTCTGAGAGTAGCACTGAACTCTGTCCATGCAATTAGTTTGATGACTACTTTGGATTCCTCTAAATATGCCCTAAAAACATCGTACCGCTTTTCATCTCTGAAGACAAAAGGATTCCACCCAGCAAGAAGAGAGTAGAATCATAGCATCGTTAAGGTTGGAAAAGACCTCCAAGGTCATCTAGTCCAACCATTCAGCTACCCCAATATTCCCCACTAAACCATGTCCCTAAGTACTGCATCCATACATTTCTTGAACACCTCCATGGTGGGTGACTGCCTGACCTGCCTGAGTAACCTGTTCCAGAGCCCAACCAGTCATTTGAAGAAGAAATTCTTCCTAATATCCAACCTGAATGCTTCTCCCAGCTCCACACTGCTTCAGCCCAGTCACATATCTGCCAGCAGAGGATAGACCCCAAAAGTTCAGTGTCACAACAACCAGCATGTAAGGATGTTTCAAAGAAAGAGAGTGACTGTTCACAAAACAGCATCCTAGCACCAGTCCTTTACTTACTGTGTCCACCTTCTGAGCATCCTTTGTTGCTGTAACATTCCTTGGACTTTGTGGTTGCAGGGAGTTGTTGAAGACATTTAATTCTTGTGGGGATACATTAAAAAAAAATCAGGCTTTTTCCATCAATTTAGTAACTATACATTTTCCAATGGCAGCTAACTATTATGGAGGCTGGGCCAGGGAGCAGCCTGTTCTAGTGTTGGCCAGTCTGGGGATGGGTAGAGCATTGAGCCCAGCATATGGGAGTCTTTACTGATTTTTCAGGGAAGTTAAATTGTATTTTAAACTCACCTGATAAGCAAAGTCAACAAAAAAAGTTTAATTTTAGCTCACACCAGCTCTTTTATTTCCTCAGGATTTTTGCTTCTCACCATTTGTCTTTCAGTCTAATATTCTTCAGTGTCCTCTCAGTTATCTCTGTCTATCCTTTTGGAGAAGATGATAGCTTGAAATCTCGAGCCTAAAATTACCTTGCATTGAATGGGTGGTAGATGCTTTATTGTGTTGTTTTTTGTTTTTGTTTTTTTTTTAAAGTATGCAGAATGGAAAGGAAAAGAGAATTGGGCTTCTGTTGTCTGTTGAATTGATTGCCCCTCAGAGAAGCTGGAGCCCTCTTAGTTTCTTAAACGTAGGAAGTGGGCTCCTCACGCTTTAATTGAACATTATATTCAGATTGTCACTCGAAGCTTGGGCAGCGATCAGAGAGAACTGCATACTCTTTCCTGCACTTCATTTCAATTCCTGAAAATTAGCCAGGGTTTGCAGTAATTTATTTCAAAAGAGCAATCTTCCTGGGGTAAAATGACACCTTTGCTAAGTAGAAGCACTTTTGCAAGATAGTCACCAGGAAGACCTGGGGAATCCACACTCTCTGACTGACTTAACCATCTCTGGATCAAGCCTTTCTGTATTCAGTCAGGTGATTTTAAATCTCCCATAGCTAATTCTAGATGCTCTTCAACATTCAATTAAACCATCTGTTACTAAGCATTGCAATGTTAGCATTTATATGAAGGTAGCAGATCACAGAAGACCTGTGGAATAGAGATTGCTGTATTTATGTCTCTTCCCTCTTTTATTTCATTTTGTTCAGACCGATTTCCACCTGACATTTTTAACTAAATTGTCTTGTAATATGGTGACTTAGATTTTTTTTTTTTTTTTTTTGAACACTGGAGGTGTTTTTGGTTCTTCATAGATTCTGGGCCTAGTTCAGAGTTGGTGCAGCTTAATAGATATACTGGTGACGCTGATGAAGGCACATCTTCTCATTCTGAATTCGATACACAGGGCTGAAGTATATCACATTATCAGTTAAAGTGATGAATTCATGGTTAACCAAGGCCATTACCGAGGGCTGAGGAGCAACCCCACGGTTGCTTTGGGCTTTTGGATGCTGAATTTCAGCACACTCACACTGACCACCTTTCTTCTACAAAAAGGGTGATCAGGCAGCTGTTGTTGATCTCTATTCAAGCATAAAGATGCTTGAATAGAATAAAGATTCTATTCATCCATAAAGATGGACATTTCCAAAGGTTTGTGCTCTGGAACGCAATGAGTAGGAGGGTGTAGTACCTGCCCATCTCCATTTGGCTTCTTTTGAGCTAGATCAAGTTTAGAAGGGTACCTGCTTCCTTTCCATCAGCTTGTACAGAATCCAACCAGTCTGTAGTCCTACGCTGGTTTCTGAGGGTGGATTAAAGCAGTAACTTACAGGAATGTCCTATGACTCCCAGCTGGTAGACCTGCTTGCTTCCTGCTGTCATGGATGCTCCTCTCCCACCTCAAAGGAAGATGATCTCTTTGATTTCAGAGCTCTTCTTCCCTTTCCAGATTGAAAACACAGCTCCATCCACACCCCCTGTTCTTTCCTCAGTGCTAGAATGACTGCAGCTCTGAGAAGGGTTTCAAGGTCTCCAGCTCTACCATGTTAGCCATATGCAATAGATCTCAAGAGTTTGGTTTTGCAGGATGCAGAAAACGCAGAAATGCAGTGTTGACTTACAAAATCAGGACAAGTGCTTACAGACCCTGTCCTTGATGAAGCATCTCGCAGATTCGTGTCCTAGAAGAAATAGCCTGATCCACATTTACAGAGGTATTCAAATGTCTGATGGGATGTACAAAGTTTCTCAGTAAAAGATTCATAATGCCCAATAAGATTTTTCACCTTGGCTAAACAGCTGATCTGCCTTAAACTGGAATGTTGCCATTCCTTGGCTTTAACTTGCAAGCTTTTGCAGCCCATAGATGTGGACTGAAGCAAACACCATCTCAGCTCTCCAAAGGCCAGCCAGACATCGAGTTGCCATAATCAATTGCTGATTGCCTGTGCCCTGATCATGTCGGGGCACAAAATTGATTTTGATGGAGCTGCAGTGTAACTGCAGTGCTTTTTAGAAGCTCAGTACCGTCACGGTATTTCAAATGATTTTTGGTTTTCTGCTGCACAGTGTCTGGAACAATAATGCAGCTCATACTGTTCCTCCTATTTCAAAATTCAAGTGCCAAAAGGGAAGAACGTGCTGCAACTGAACACCATTAAAACCAGCTTTATTACTTGTGGATAATTATGGTCTCAAGGGCTCCATTTTGGTGCTAGAATATGCCATGCTGTATTTTCCATTGCTTGGAATTACAAAGTTGATTCCTCTCTTCAGGAAATATTTTCTGTAATCAAAAACATCTTAAATATTAGGATTGTAGGATTGTGTTTATTTCTTGTTCTTTAATTCAGATACACTCAACAAATGAATTCCCCTCCCTGCAGTCATGTGAGTTTTTGAGAAATTTTGTAAGGTATATATGTATATGTATATTTAAAAACTCTTTACAAATTGCAGTGCATGCCTATTTTTTCCCTTGAAAATATTTTCTCATATCAGCTGGCCTATGATTAAGGGAATTTGTTACTCAGGATTTAATCCAGAAGTGACCGAGGTTAGAAGTGTCCTCACACGTGTGGGCTTTGGGACAGGGTCTCCATCAAATTCTTTCACTTAGAAGTCAAAAAGTGTGCAGTGAATTAATACAAAATTTAAAATCCACCCTCCTCCAGCAGGCAGATATCCTGCTGAAATCTGCCAGACTTAATGAGAAGAGGGCTCATGTCTTTAGGTACTCATGAACTCCAAATGAAAGGAGCAGAAACATTTAATGTTCTCATTTATTATTTGGTACGATACTCCAGCAACAAGTGCAAATTATCTGATGTCTGCATTTAGAATATGAGTCAGTCATCAAAGAATGAGAGTTTTACAGCCCAGTAGTCCTTTAAATGTCATCTGTCCTGGAGGAGAAGAATAATTTTACAATGATTTGGTGCCGTGCACTGGAATTCTCTTGCAGAAGACAGATGAACTGCACAAAAACATATTGGGTCATCATTTTAACTATGCCCTTTTAATTGCTTTAGTCTTTCATGGGAAAAAGGTTTTCATGTTGCTGGTTTAAAACTCCCACTTTTGTAATGGCTCATGGCACAGCATACTAGCAGAATGCATTTGCGTCTGTTGTCACGTTATGTGTGAGTGTGGAGGTGTTTGTGGACAAGCAGATACTTCAGATAGGACAAGGAGATCTCCCTTCCTTGTACCTTGTTTTAATAGTGTCCTCTGTGGAACATGGAGGGCACGTGCTCCCCAGAACACATCATGGGGGGAAATGTTTCCAGCAATGCTGTTGTTGCATGGCCATGTTGCCCAAGTAGCCTAATGCAGCAAGATAATTGCAGCCTACCAACAGATATTCCTGACCTTGATATCTACCTAAGGTAGATGTAGGAGTAGGCAGGGAGGGTTTTCAGGGAAGAAGAGAGGGTTGGAGTTCTGGGTTTGAGGGTCTTCTCATGTGAGGAAAGGGCAGCTGTGGTCTATCAGCATAAATTCCTCAAGACATCTCTGTCTTTCTCATAGTAAATAAAGATGCTCTGAGCCCTTGCAGGGGCCAGGTGTGAGGGAGGAAAAAAGCAGGCAGTATATTCACAGCAGAAAGCTGGAAGTTTTCTTTCTTGTTTTGCTTATGGAGATGTAGGGATTTGGCTCTGAAGGGTGGATTGGAGGGCAGTAGAGAAGATCCGTCTTTCTTCCTTGTACTCAGCTCCTGTACATCTCCTGGTTTCTGGAGGCAACTTTCAGACTTCCAAGGGAAATGTCAGGGACTGAAACTTGAGCTCTCTCCCATAGAAATAGGTGATACTGCCTTAAGCTCAGGTGGTGGATCTACAAAATGCTGTTGCATGTTATGATGTGAGAAGACAAAAATCAGCATTCCCAAGTCAGCAATCTGCTTGTTGCTGCTCCAGCCTCACTGAAGTTTATGACCATTATATCTGCTTATAAATGCATACAGGGATATAATGTACAGGCAGGCATTCGCTGTGATGTGGTCCAAAAGTGGTGAAAGATCTCAAATGCAGGCTTTGGAAGGTTGAGTTGAGTCTTCTCTTGTGCCAGGCAAACACTCAGACCCATCTGACACTTAGGGAACAGCAGAAATGAGCTCAACAACCAGCAGACACAGTCCATTCGTGGTGATGCACGTTGGAAATCTTTGAATTGTTTTGCATTCCAGTTTGTATGGAAGATTTGATTCAAACAGTGTATATATAATCCCTTTGGTGTGTTACAAATATATATGTGTGTGTGTATATATATGTATATATGTGTGTGTGTGTGTATATATGTATGCGTATATATATATATATACATATAAACCAATCAATGCTGGTGTTTTTACTTTTTAAAGTTCATGGGGCAAAGGGCATGTTGTTAGTTTGCTGTAAGATTCTATTCTGTATATATGTTTTCATGTAAATAAGTGAAAATCTATATTCAGAGTTATATTTTAATTTTTATTCAAAATGAAATAAATCCCCTTTTTACTTGAGCAATTGTAAGCTACGTTGTTAATAAAGTAACAATAAATCACATTTCTCTCAAGGTTGGTATTTTACTTCATTGGACAGTAAGGGTTGTGTCTTGGTGTATTTGATGTATTTGTTCTACATGAGGAGTTAAGGTGAGAAAAGTCTCTTGGCTTTGCTGCCAGTGGCTTTGTTTTGAGTGACCCCATGCACTTTCCGGGAAGGGACAGTCAGGACTTGTCCTTTGCAGAGTTGGACACTTAAAGGCACGTCTGGGGGTTCCCTTTGCAGTCTCTAGAGAGAAACACAGCAGCACGACTTCTGCCGGCCAAATTGAATTGCCTGAAGGAGATGCCTTTTGTCACTGCCTTTGGATGGGCTCTTGATTTAGGTGAACACCAAAGAGGATGAACGTAAGCCATGAGCCAGTTTCTGCAGATGGTCATAACCAGGTGTTGGCTGTGGTCCCTCAGAATGCCATGCTCTTGAAACAATATGGCATCCAGGCAGCACACTTCCCATCCAAGCAGAGGTGTGCCTCAACATACATGAGCTCTTCACTCCCCAGCCTTGACAAGTGTGTCCAATGTACTTTGACTTAATTCCTGCCCTTGATAAACCCATTCACCTCCAGGAAGGCCCGGTGCAGCTTTGCTGGTTCATCTTTTCACAGCTGCCACACTGTAGCATTTGTTTGTAGAAGCTAGGCTTACATACCTGCAAATTCTCCCCAGTAGCAGGAGAACATGAAACAAAAAAAATGGTGGGTTGGTAAGGTAAAACTAGGGCAGCTTTTAAAGATGCTTTGGGAGAGCAACAGGGAGAAGGGTGGAAGAAGGGAGTAAAGGTAATACTATGAGCAACAGTCAAGGGAGTATGGAGTAAGGGAGGTGCTGATGGTGGCAGGACAAAACTTACAGCCAGGTCACAGCCTACAATGCAGTAATCACAACTTCTTGAGCTGCACAGCAGTTCTTGAACATGGAAGCAGCCATCCTGTAGTGCTGGAAGAAAGCTATTTGATGGTCAAAAAGAACCATAGCATCACAGAATCATTAGGGTTGCAGGATACTACTGATGTCATCTAGTCCAACTGTCAACCCATCCCTACCATGCTCATGAATCATGAACCTGCAGAGTTCTTGAACACTTCCAGGGACGGTGACTCCACCACCTCCATGCCTGTTCCAATGCCTGACCACTCTTTCTGAGAAGAAGTCTTTCCTAATATCCAACTTGAAGTGGGCATGCTTTGCAATATAAAACATTGTATTTCTTACATGTCTACATCTTACACTGTTGTATGCCTGGGAGGAAGTAAGCACAGGGCCTACAAAATTAGCTAACAAGGATGTAGATGGCCCTCATTTTGATGTTGCTCAGTCAATCCCATTCAGTTGTCTCTCGTGGATGCAGCAAGAGGAAAGAAACAAAATGTCTCTGTGCATGGGCCACTATTTCTCTTAGCTCAGCAAAACTGACCATTCTTTTTCAGGCAAAAATAACAACCATGGACAAGGTTTGGAGTGATTTAGAAAGCAGTGAAACCACAGGAAATTTCTTTACGATGTCACCAAATCTTGAAATGAAAATCCTCCTGTGCAACTCATGATGATGCAGCAGTCACAGTCAGTTCTTAGAGAAGTACACCACCACAGATAATCAGAGAAGTGACCTATCCAAAGAGTCTTAAAAATGAAGTACTGGTCAGTGAATAGTGACGTGTTTTGACTCACGACCTGCTAGATCACAGACGTCCTCACTGAAAGGTGATGTAGAGAATGAGAAGGATTTATACAAGGAAATAATTCTGAGCCAAATCAGACAGTGACATAAAACTAAAAGAGCAGAAGGTTGGATGTTTTATAATATTCTTCAGAATCCAGGGGTGAAAATAAATCCATATATCTTCCTGCAGCTTATTATACAGTCATTTAAAAGTAATGCAAAGGTCAGACCTCAGTTTTTACATTTCTGCCCCATCTTCGGGAAGACATGCTCAGAGCTCTGCAAAGAGCTAAGTTTTGAAAAATAGAAGGCAAAGTGATTTTAGTAAAACACTGGCAATATATTCCAACTGAGCTCCTGAAATTAATTTCCAACACATGAAACACAGTTGTCATATGTGGTTCCCTCAGGAAAAATATCTACCAGCCTTGCGTCTGACCTCATAGGCCAAGATGTTCAAGGCTGGCCTCCATTTTTAGTGTTGCAGTTTTTCATGCACAATTAATTTGGGAAAGATACTTCCCCTGATTTGTGGACAAGATCAAGGATTCAAGTAAGCAGCAGTGTGAACACCAATGCATAGTTACCTACCCCTTGAAAAACACACAGAAAATCAGTTAAGTTGGATTTCCAGGTCTCTGAGGAAATACCATATTTCTTTTCATATATATACAGAATACAGAATTAATACAAAAATGTAGGTAATTCTGCTTAATTCCCAGAATTTTTAGACAGGTTTTCAAGACTAATAATAATAATTAATAATATCCGTATTGTTGCTGCTACTGCTAATGTTGTTAGTATTGTTATTGCTTTTTTAATTTCAAGATTCATGCCTTTCAGTGAAATTTAATGACGATTCTCCCTCCCTCTGCAGCTACAATATTTACCTAAGCACGATACACCTCTTGCTACAGTCTGTACTCAATTATCATAAGTTGATTTTATAACTGCATCTCAGCTGAAGATGTAATTACACTGTCTTCTCTAATAAGTCATAAAATCTTAGAGAAAATAGTGCTGCAAGACACCTTGAGGTGTCAGCTTGACTGTTTCCCCTTCACAAGGCAGGAGCAATTAGAGAAATCTTACTTGTATCTGGCATTTGTTTAACTTGACCTCTGGATGGGTGTCAAAATAAGACCTCCAGCAACAAGCGAATCCCCAGCACTTCTACAGCATAAAAAAGAAGTGATGGCATTTGGATGATGAAGTGTAATATTCGCAGGCACAGCTACCACGTTGACGTTGACGCTGAACGGCCATCTCATTTTGAAAAGCTTAATAAGACTGGAGATTAATGTAGCAATTAATAAATGTAACAGTGGAAGATTCACAGTGAAGAGTGATTAAATTTCAAGCAAACAGCTATGATAATAATTTTCTTCACGAGTCCTTAGTTGGGGACATAGAGCATATGATCTGGCGGTTACAACAGATGATGTTACTGCAGGCAGCTTCCCTATGGCATCTAGTGATAGCATCATTGTGCTCATCTCTGGATAAGTATCTTTTGGAATAAAGCTTCGTAATGCAAATCTCCCAGTTTGCACCTAGGCAATGGCTCTCAATGGCTCTCTTCTCAGCCATGCTGCATGAAGCAGAAGGGCAGATCTGAAGTTGCAAGGGCAGCTGCAAACAGTAGGGTTTGTCCAGCCATGTCTGAAGGTAGTTCAAGCAAGAGCTTCTAGCAACAAAAAGCCATGAAGGGTCTTGATCAGCTGTTCATCTCAAATGTTTCTGAATCAACTGGACACTCTGCTATGCCACTTCAGGGCAATATCTGTGATGGATGTGGGATTGGCAATCCTTGAGCACGTATTTGTTCCAGAAATGATAATTCACTCTGTGGGCTAAAGAGAGAGCTGGGAAGGGACCTTAGTTCCTGCAAAAGCTGCTAGCACTTTGTAAGCCTGCTCTGGATGGAAATGCCAAAGTAATGGACATTTATTCTGAGGAGAAAGAGAAGTAGGGGAGAAGAAGAAAGCACTCAGGTCCAAATTCAACAGCAGGAACCTTGATTCCACTCACCACAAAACGTAATACATATATTTCTTCTAATTTTATTCCTATGAGGTAGTGAAGCTTTCTCACTGTGTATGAATGTGCAGGCATTATTTAAATTAATTTTCCCAAATGCCATTTTTTTGCTCCATAAATGTACAAGTGGCTCTTGCTCTCACACTCCAAAGCAATACACCTGACAGCTTTATTTTACTGGGGTATTGTTGAGGTCCTGCTGGTTTAGGTGCAGATTGCTCTCTTATACAACTGTACTTCCCCACACACAAGGGTGAAGGACCTCATTCTGGTTCTTCTGCTGACAACACATCAGAGAGTCCATAGGATCTTTTCATGTGTATCAGCAGGTTGAATAGAATGTACAACCTTTCTCAGGCAAGTGTGCACACAGAGAGAGTGCTAGGGAGATATTCTCTCCAAGGCAATTTGCATTATCTCCACCAACAGATGAGTACTTTTACAGGAGGTGAAAGTGTTACTACCACCCTTGCAGACTCATCATTGAGATGTTGAGAGCCTGCAGAAGTCAGAAGCTGTGTTTCCACTGCTGCAAGGTGAAATCACACATATTGCTGGGGAAGAGTGTGTTGGATGAGATCACCTCAAAATGCAATGCTCATCTCAGGTTGCATGTAAAAGTTATGTTTCAGTTAATAGTTGGAATGACCATCGAATATCTGAACTGTGGCACTGAGGGACGTGGTTAGTGGGCACAGTGGTGATGGGTTGATGGCTTGACTAGATGATCTTGGAGATCTTTTCCAATCTTAACGATTCTGTGATTCTTTGTTAATCTTTAAGGTTCTCAAGGTCAGGTTGGATTTGGGCCCTGAGCAGCCTGAGCTGGTGGGTGGCAAACCTGCCCATGAGCAGAAGTTGGAGCTCTAGGACCTTTAAGGACCTAAGTCATTCCATGATTCTATGAATTTAGGAGCTTGGAGCCAGCCAAGCTGTCTGGTGTCCCCTGGGATAAGCAATTGGAGGGGAAGAAGAGGCATGGAAAGTGGAGAAGAATCTGGAAATTTAACCACAATCTGCTGAATGCTGCATCCAATGT